GACTGATGAAAACAACTGTTGTGGGTTACCCAAGAAATGATGTCAGAAGAAGCTGGACAAAAGTTCATCAAGATTGTTGCTTCAGAAGCGCCGTGAGCTGCAGCACAATGGACATAAAAACATGCCTGAGTTCCATCTTACGGCACTCTGACGACAATAATGATGGTGGACTGCCACGTTTCTTGCTCCAAGTGGCATGACATTCATCCCGTGGCGTTCTTTTCCTGGTCACTGCCAGCGTGGCTGAGAATGTGCGAAACATTCTTGCTTGCATTGTCATTTATGACGACACGAGATGCACAATGAGGATTACGTGCATGAATGGAGCCCCTGAGTAGGGCGTCAAGTGGAGAGTATCGTCGTTGGGATTGCTGCAATTCATATATCACCGATTGGATGCCGACGTCCAACGTGTATGTGTCCTCACTCGGGACTCCGTCACAAGACCATTTGTATCCAATCCTAGCGAGAAGTTCCAACCGAAAACTGGTTGAGAGACTCTTTAGGGCTGTCATGCTTTGGCTGCGCGTTTATACGGGCCTTGTTTTGGGGCTTATGCGGTGCATACGCATTGACGCATTAACCAGGCGACGCTTTCGGGATATCTCCCCCACAGACAGATTCACTCATGGCCGGTGATTCGCCATAGGATCCCTATTGGTGACTAGGAGAAGTTGCAGTAGCGTGAATCATTCTGTGGGCGTCCAAGATGCATCTCGCTTCTATTCTTGGACAGCCTGGGCTGACTATGACATACCAATTCCTTCCATGCCGCGTGGCTGTGATGTGATGAAACATTTCACCTCGTGATCATCAAAGTCAGGTTTTGGCACTTCTTGGGCTCACTGCAACATCAATACAAAATACGAATCGTCCTCTCTGTTGAACGCACTTTCGTTAATCATACAACATTACTAGCGTTGCTTGTTACTTCTGGACTTTTTTGTTACTGATTTCACTGATACTTTGAGCGGCTTGGATCTCGACAAAATGGGTTCGTTGAACGCAGATGAGTACAAAGATGATGCGGGTTACTTGAGGAAGAGCTCCGAAACCCCCGAGCATCAACGCTGGTCGATGAAGAATTTGATCAGCAAGATCAAGAAGAAGAATGACACAGATCTTGAAGACTTCATGGTCATCGGTATCGACTTTGGAACAACGTAAGTCTCCATTCGAGTGTATTCCTAATGCAAGTCTCAACTAAAGCTTACGGAACCAGGTACTCCGGAGCAGCATGGGCTACTGTGGCAGACTTCGAGTCTGAAGAGATCAACCTCATCACCAACTGGCCAGGCATCGGAGGTGAAGAGGGAAAGGCTCCCACGGAGCTATTCTATGAACATGGCGACGTGATGTGGGGATATGGAATCCCCGCTGACGCTGACCCAGTTCGCTGGTTCAAGTTGCTCCTCTTGCAGGAGGAGGACCTGGCACCCGAGCTTCGACAGTCCGACTTCGTGCTTCGCGCGCGTAAGATGTTGAGAGAGAATAATAAGACCGCTACCGACCTCATTGCCGATTACCTCAAGGCTTTGTGGGCTCACATTCTCAACTCCATCAAGAAGGCCCGAAGCAAGACTGTTATTGAGGCCCTCAGATTCCATGTTGTCATTACGGTCCCTGCCATTTGGAAGGATTATGCCCGCACGGCCATGGAGGAAGCAGCAAAGAAGGCCGGTATTCTTGATGATCGTCCTGCCGGTAGCACTACCCTGGCCTTTGCCCCCGAGCCTGAGGCTGCCGCCTTGGCTACGCTTTGCGAGAAGGGCCGTGTAGCTAAGAAGGACGATGTTTTCGTGATTTGCGACGCTGGCGGTGGTACAGTGGTAAGTGCAAAGAGAGACCAGGGGTATTTCACAGCAGTTCTAATTATGACGAACAAAGGATCTGATCAGCTACCGAGTGGGGGGACTGGAGCCCATTGAACTCCATGAGGCGGTACTAGGTTCAGGTAAGCACCCGAAACGAGAGATGATGGCGCGCATGACTCATAAATCTTCCCAGGTGGCTTGTGCGGCGGTATCTTCATTGATGAGGCCTTCGAGAGTATCTGCAAGGCACGGTTGGGTCGGCAGTGGAGCAACCTCAGCCAGACTGGTGTCAAAGAACTGATGAAGGACCAGTGGGAGTACGGGATCAAGCCTCAGTTTACTCCTGAAGACAAGAACAAGGAATACATTGTTGCTATCCCAGCCGAGGCGTTCAAGAACGGCGCTGACCAAAATGATCTGGAGCGAAAGCCCGTCATTAAAAACGGCCGAATTCACTTTACTAGGTGAGAGCGTTCTTGTGAGCATGAAATTGTGAAAAGCCTGCTAACGCTAACCCACACCACAGCGAGGACATCGAGAAGGCATTCGCCGCTGTTTTCGCTGACATTGTCAAGTTGATCGATGGTCAGATCAGCAAGGCCAAGCAAGACAACATGTCTGTCAAAGTAAGTGATTATACTGAAATCATGAGCTCGAAGATCAAGGTTCTAACAGCGATCAAAGGGAATCATCCTTGTTGGAGGCCTTGGCTCGAGCCCATACTTGTATGAATACCTCTCCGAGAAGTATGGAGGCAACGAGATCGACGTTCTACAGTCCGCTGGTATCAGACCGTAAGTGAATGATATAACGTAGCGCTCTTTTAAAATCCCTAATTCTGACGACAAATCACCTTTCTAGTCGCACCGCTATTTGTCGCGGAGCCATCTTCAAGGGATTTCTGGATGCACCAAGCGGCAAGCTCAGTAGCGCCATGACATCAGCCGGCAAGCCTCTGCAAATGCCTGTCCGTGTCGTCTCTACCATTGCTAGACAAAGCCTGGGTGTTGAGTTCACCCCCCTCTTCGAGGAAGGTGTTCACCCCGCTGAAGACAAGTACTGGGATAAGGACGAGGGCGTGTGGAGAGCTGGTAAGCAGATGCTGTGGTATCTGAAGAAGGTAGGCAATAACCCGGCGAAAATGTGAAGGCATAAACCAACCTAACATCTTTTTGCAGGGCGAGAATGTGTCGAAGAAGGAACCTGTCAAAAACACGTTCTATCGAACCTTTGCAAAGGCTGAGGACTTCAAGGATACCGTTACCGAGACGGTCCAGCAGTGCGAAGATGATGTGCCGCCAACTCGGCTTGGGCCTAGCATAAAAGAGCTGTGCAAGATCCATTGCCGACTTGACGATATTCCCTTCGAATCTCTTGACGACTACAAGGGTGAAAACAACCAAGATCTGAAGAGATACATGTATGACATCGAAATGGTGCCATCCGGAGCTTCCAATATCTTCGCAGTCTATCACCAGGGAACAAAGATGGGATCTCATGATGCAAGCGTCGAATATACCAAGCATTAACCTCACTGAGAGAGATGAAGTTTTGTTTGTTTGTATAGTATCGTAGTAGAGAACAAAGAGTGGAAATTAAGCGTTAACTACCTAATCTGAGGCTCATAACTAGCCGCGAGGTGGAATACAATTTTGAGATTGGGTTCAAGGTTTGTACCTAACCATCATACTAGAGTAAAACTGGCCATGTAATACCGCCCGCTGTGCCTGGATTACTATCAATCGTTGTGAAGAATCATAAGGCGTCGTGTATATTGGGAATCAGGTGAGCAAGGCTTACGCCGAGGTCACACACAGGCCTCAACTGTCAGTGATTATCGGGGAAAAAAATAGGACAAAAACGCAGGGCCAAGACCAATGAGCTAAATTTAAGTTGCAAATGAATAAAGAGAAAATATATGAATCAAGGTTGCCAGCTCCCAGCCTCGGATCTTACCAAGTCTGTCTCAATGCGAGGACCGTTACATCATCCTTTGGGACGCTTTACCCGAAAGAGGTGCATATACGGCCTCAACGCTAACCCTAAAGAGGCGCATATACGGTGCTGACAGAGTCAAGCGAGGGTTGAGGGCATCAGGAGGGCAAGCCTCTGGGAACCCATTCTATGATCCAAGGAGTGTAAGCTCTTATAGATATAAATTGAAGTCCATCAGAAACTTTTGAGACTCAATTTGAACATCAATCTCGTCGCCTGACCCCTAACTCTGCTCATCCATTTCTATATTCCTTGACAAAAGATGTCCTACCAAGAAAAGCCAGTCATCATTATTGTTCCCGGAGCATGGCACCAGCCGCTTCACTATACGAATCTTCTCAATTCACTCCAAACAAAGGGGTACGCTGTTCGAGTTCCGGCCCTCGCTACTGCAGGTTGGGGTCAAGACGTGGCGGGAAAAAGTGTCTCTGATGATGTGGCCATTCTGAAGAGCACCATGAAAGAATATCTAGATGCTGGGAAAGAGCTTGTGGTAGTGTGTCACAGTTTCGGTGGCATCTCTGGAACGGCCAGCGTGATCGGAGAAACTGTTCCAGAGAGACGGGCCCGAGGAGACGCTGGAGGAGTCAAGGCGGTCGTGTTCCTCGCAGCCTTCGCACCTCCTTCCGCAGGTTTGAGTCTTGTCGATATCATTGGTATTAAAGATGAGTCGCAGCAGCCAGACTGGTGGACGCCTGTTGTGAGTAACGAAACTCTTTCATATGGCTGCAGGAATTTTACTAACTATTCATGTAGAATGGGTTGGGCTTATTGGAACCAAAGGCATCGGATCTCTTGTACTCTGGGCTTGATGATGAGATTGCCAGAGTGAATTTCCATGCTACAGCGCCCCAGAGTCTTCAGAGCTTCCAAAGTAAGAGCAATCATGCCTCATCGGATATTGTTGTCCCAAAAACGTATGTCGTCACGCAGAAAGACGCCATTATCCCCTCGGAAGGCCAAAAGGCTATGGCGAACGCGGCCGGTGCAAAGGTCGTCGAATTGGCATACGGGCACAGCCCGTTTTTGAGCGCTGGAGGGTCATCGAGCATTTTAAAGATCATTGAGCAAGCGTCAGTTTCTGAATAAAGGATGATAAGAGATGGAGGAAGAAATGCCGAATTTCGATCAGTAGGTGCTTAATTTATTCTTGGTCATTCGCCATAAGTACGCATTCTAGGACATCGGCCCTCACAAGTCAGATAATATGGCATCCCAAACCTGCCGTGCAATCTCTTCTTGCAAGTCTCCCCTGGGCTGAGGCCATGTGATGTTAGATAGGGAGGCTTGTGCATCCGTCCACTCTAGGACTTGATATGTACGAGCCCATGTCTTTATTTTCTTGTGAAGCCACGAGCGTATTTCTTCGATTTGCTGATCAGAGCCTTCTTGAGGATGAGTTGCTAGGGCAAAAGAGGCAGTATAAAGCATCCAGAATGGAAGCTCACTCGCCCTCCTTGATTGCATATTCCACTCATTTTTGAGCTCCGGTGCGTGATGAACGAGTGTCTCTAGAATCCTCAAGAATAAACGTCGATCAATTGGCTGACCTGAGTTCCAAAGAAGGAGAACATTGTTCAGGTATAACGCTACGGATGCGGCCAAGGCCCGCCACGAAGCCAGCAAAGTCCCCTCTAAAGCCTGGTTTGCAGTCGGTAGGGTAGACGAGACGTGAGCTTCGGTGAAGGCGAATAGTAAGCAGCTTAAGTTCTTGCAACCAGTGCAGGTAGCTGGGTCTTGGCTATCACAGATTGTTGTGTCGTTAGCAAGAGAGGGGTCATGTACAACGTGAGGTGCACCGTCGTTAACTCGTCGCTTTCTCACTGCTTCGGTTAATCCTCTCAGCGCGTCAATGACTTTGACGGCCATAATAGGGTGGGTTATAAGAGGCCGGTTCTCCTGGAGGTAGAAAGGAATCTGGCGAAGTGCGACGAGATTTTCTGGGATCCCGGTGAAGGAACGCTGCCAAATGCTAGCATAATTGATATCACCAGCTAGAGTATGTGTGAGGCGACTTTTTACGGCAGATGCAAAATGGTGTGCCCTAAAAGATGATGGTCAGCCTTCCTATACACAATTGCAGCATAAATCAACGTATGTACACAAGTATAAGCCGCTCAAGAGCCTCTTCCTGTTCAGGGGATTCCGGTCTTATGTTATCAGGGCACCTATTTTCTTGTCGCATCTCAATAAGAGATAAAAGGCCGGAGAGGTGAGCCTCGGCCACGGGATAGTTTCCAACGCAGCTCTAAACAAATCAGTCAAATCTATCTTAGTTCTAAGAACGGTACTGACCTCGGTGATAGAGAGGATGGCAATCAACTTCAGCTGTTTACTAGTGATCAACTTGATGTCCCCGAGGAGCCAGGAATTGACAAGCTGAATTAACTGTTGTTTGTGGAAGAGGACGGATTTTTCAAATTCCTGGAAAGCTCCAACTTTCCACATGTAGTGTAAACCTGCGAGCATTAAAGTACTTCTAAAGTAAGTGGGCTCGGCCATCGTCAGGGCGATACTACGAGATGGAAATCAGAAAATCAGAGATTGGTAAACTAATGAGAAATGAGGGTAAGAGGCAAACTGACGCCAAATTGCACTTACCAATCGTCCTCTGGTCGCCATTGGATTTGTCCCGTCTCGAGAAATTGGGCACGGTTTGGCGTCGCTCGTGAGGCGGCGTTATTGAGGAGGGTCTCAGCCCCGAGGACTAGCGATGAATGGTCAGACACGGTCCCAGATATGAGTGTCATGCATGCCTTCGTACAGTAATGGAGGAGTTCTTGTGACTTGAATGGCATTTGTATCGGTAATGCCTCGAATGGATCGAGTTTATTGATGCCGACCCTCCATACAGTCAGGCCGGGTGCGTTCATGTGACACCATTTCTCCTCGTGCTGTGAAAGAGCCGGTGTGGGATAGACGCAGAGAGAGCCGGTAGTCGTACATTTCGTACTAGGGCATCAATTAGCAGAAGGGAGCTTGACGTCACAGTAGCTGTCTGATGAAGCTCACCATGAGGGCCGGAGTTCGTCGCATCGCACGTGTCTCTTCTTGCAAGCCAGACATCCAGCTCTACTCCGACTATGGTGCTGTCGGCGTCTGGGCTCATGATGGTGCTGCATGGCAATTGTGCCTCCGGGGACGTGTTGAGGTTGGAGTGGAGAGGTTCAGGCGAGTTCCATATAAATTTTAATTTTATATTTAGCTCCGTGGTTTGTTGATTGCTTACGGTGATAACGCGTCTCACATACCTCACTGGTTGACTGGGTACTTTTGCAGAAAGGATTCTGAGTGAGACTGAAACCTATCTCGGTAAGTACGCAGGTATCATTCAGGCTTATTATATCCAGAATCAATTGCTGATGCAAATGCTATCGAACCTTTGTACTCTCTGAGCGTGAAAAGGATGTAGTTCCACGAATGTTTGGGTTTTACTGAGCCAACACTCACAAACCTCAACACTTACCAACACGGACCTCTAGCCTGGGTGAATATTGATGCCTCCATCTATGTTGCCATTATCTTCAGTACAGTCATTTCTCATTTCATTATATAACCTAGCATCTATTACAGAACATCTATGTGCCAAAGAGTTCGACCCAGGATGAATAAGAGACATGGTATAGGGTAGCTGGCATTGGCTTCGAGCGACTACGGTGGCTATACGGTTGCTAGTGTTCTTGCTACAATCCTTCCCTAGCCAATAACGGAAGATTCAGAGCGACAATTAGGTATTAAAATGAAGCATTACAGAGACCTGAAGGGTTTTGAAGGAAGCTTGGGGCAGCGTGTCAATGATAGAAGAAGGAATGTAGATGTTAAAGGTAAAAACGATGACGCCTGGCGTTTGTTCAGTTGTGAGCAGTTGCACTAGCCTGCGGTAACATGGACGGCTTACGATCTGGAATGCGCACACCAGTTGGTAACTTTTATTCAGATCTGCTAAGATTTACAATATGTCTTCCAAATTCTGCCAAGTCTCCTACGTCTCGCCCCGTGAGATACCAATCAGGGTTATCTAACAGCGATTGGAAGTGGGCAAAATATTCATCCATTGGCATGTCTATGGGAATTAGGTCATCACTCGGCACAGTCCCCATGTTGGCTGACGAAGGTATCCAGACTGGTGACAGCTCGTTCGCAGCGTTTGACGCATCTTGTTCGGTGTCTAAACGCAGGTCTGTACTGTCTTGCTCAACACCATTCAGGCCGGGAATGGGTCTTGGTTGGTCTGGATCCATCACTAGTTGTATTGTATTGTCTGTTATGCCGTCGTTGTTCAGGGGCTCTATACAGTCTTGAACCATGGGTCCGTGACGACGGTCACCCGCCAGCTGGCGGACACTGTCATGCACAGGTTGCGAGCGATCGCGCGAGGGGACAGCTGTATTCTCGTTTGTTCGTAAGTGTTCGGGCAAGTGACGCCAAATATCCTGGACCTCTTGGAGTCGTTCAATGGCGGTCGTGTTGTGGTTGTCAGCCAGGTATTGCAGATTTTCTAGTGCTTCGCCAAGCCCAGGCGACGGGTTGATCTTGTCCTTATCTTCACAAGCAGAGTCGAACACAACTGTGAGAATCAAGACAAAAGTGGCGGAAAAAATGGCATCGCAGTCAAAGAACCCAAAGATGGCTGAAAGTTGGTAGTTTTAGCCTCAATCCCGCCTCCAAGGTACGCACGACGTGTTAAAGGACATTACCTAAAAGCTTCATTCGTCGCAATGTCATGATAGTCCGCACTATACGCCTTGCTGCTTCCGTGCACGCTCGACAAAGCTGCGTCAGGGAAGAGTTACCCAGCTGCTCCAGGCCAAAACTCTCTCCTGCAAGTATTAAATGCGCTACGTGTAGCATGACCGGGCGTATTGTGAGTAAAGTGGCCTGCTCTAGTTAGCAGGAGAAATGACAGCTAAGCCTAGTGAGCTGCGATTGGACGTGATTTACCTGGTAAACCATGAGTTGGAGTGAGGCTGTTGTTCTCATAGAAACATTCGCGTTCGGTCCGTGAGCTACTGTTGCCAGGTTCTCTGGTATCTCGCCAGAAATTTCATGCAGACATTTGATGATTTCTTTCACGTCAGGCACGAAAGAGTCTTGATTTTGGCGTTTAGGGCTATATAAGTCTAGTCGTTCCCAATCAGCCATAGTCATGGAACATTTGGTGTCGGACAGGATTATTACCTATGAGGATGCGACTTGTAACTCTGGCTATTCGAGCATTTGTACGTATTGGCTGGCTGGAGCTGAACCCAGGCTGGTCGACAGGATACTCAAGTACAATGAAAGCATCATCGATACCATATGGGTAGCCCGTCGCTGCTGCTAACCGTCTAGTGATCGACATGTTAACGAAGGAGTTAAAAAATGCATAATTTTGCACACAAAATACCTTTCTTGCATATAAATTGTCCACCATAGCCTCCCAATGTGGGCTTTCTCCGACCGAAGTATATGTGTCCCCTCCAAAGGACGGTGGTAGCCGTGTGTGACAGCAAGCCGCAAAGCTATGCTGGTCTTAATGATCATCCATTAGTTTCATGATTTCTAATACGGATTTTCAAGGACGTACATAAATGTATGCTTCTTCCTTGCGGTTCATGGCTTGGAGGTATACTCCGAGCAGCGTCAAGGTCTCAATTGCGACCCTCCCTTGGGCGTGCTGCTCACTGGGTGTTGGCAGTTGTTTGTGCACGAACTCAAATAAGCTACTTCCTGGATATGTTTCCCCATCGTTCTCGTTCTTTTCTCCAGAAAGTAGTTTACCAACTGCAAATATAATCTTCATCCTCAGAAACCATGGCGTAGATGGTCCTAGCTGACCTTTCGGGTTAGCATAGTATAGCTCGATGTTGTCGGAAACTTCTCGGACGTCGAAGTGACTTTGACTCTGGCCAATATAAAGGCTAACGATCTCAAGGAGATGGTAGGCTTCTAGTTCGCTGGGTAGAAGGGGTAGAGAGCGATGATGTGTGACATAGACCTGCCCTGGAGACAATCCATTGTAGTTCGAGACGTGGGTAGTTGGTGTACGTTGGGGGGTCTCGTGTATATGTCGGGTGTGATTGAGCAGGTTTTGAACCCTGAAGCCAAAGGTAGCACTCGAGCTTAACGACGAGTCGGTTTCTATTGCTGTACGACATGTCAGCCCATGCTTCTGCTTATCTGAAAGTTGAATGATGTACATCGACCGGTTAAAGGTATGGAGGTCTCTGGTCTGGTCGTAGGTCTCGAAGTTGGTAAAGGCGTAGCGACACCCGTGCCTTGCGATTGTTGAGAATCGTGGCCGGTGTTGAACGGACTCCTAGAATACGGTAAGCTGCTTTTACTACTAATCCACGTAGGAGGGCAATACTAACTGGGAAGGTTCATCGGCAGCATCGGGAAGCCATCCTTCCATATCTTGATTCCGTCCCTCATACTGGGCGAGGCGATTCTCGAGATCCTCAACGTGACTGGGAGAGGGTCAATTCAGACCAATAAGGACATGAGAATTGCAAGCCGTGAGGGAAGACTTACGTTACGGAATAAACCTTCCGTTCTTGGCGAAGAGCTGCACTGCACTGCAATCCACGCTTTTGACAGTATTCACAAGGAACAGCCCCCGAGCATTTGACCTTCTTCTTCCGACATGTTAGGCATCTATACGTGTCAGTCCGAAGATTGGCAGGCGAAGCACAGTAGCCAGTGAGCGAATTTACTTACGCCAATAGCGCCTTATTCTGTGTTTTCTTCGCACCCGAATCCCTGGGAGATCGAGACGACATTGCTGCTGGCCTGACTACAGAGGAAATGAAGAGTTTGGGTTCGGGGAGCGGGTCCCGAGTTCTCATATCTTTAAACGTAGGTACATTCGGCTTCGTTAGCCTCGGAGAGAGGGTCCGAAGCTAAGCCTGGTTTGACTGCCGTATCCATACTTGCAACGCGCATAGTAAAAGTATGCTTGATAAAACGAAGGATAAAAGCGAAGCATACTTCAGATACCGCAACTTCATGCTTCTAATGGCATAAACAAGCAATAATCTACTATTCTGCCGCCATGTTCTTCGACAATGTACAACAGGGTGCGCCCGATGTTATGTATGAGCTAAAGCTTCGAGCTGATGGCGATACAAACCCCAATAAGGTCGACCTTGGCGTCGGAATCTACCGCAATGAACAAGGTCTTTACCATGAGCTGAAGGCTTTAAAAGATGTACTATTACCAAAATATGTTTGTTTTTGTTGTCAAGACACAGCGACTGACTGCATAATAGGCGAAAGATCATCTTGCTGCGACAAACCCTAATCACGATGTACGATAAACCAATCACGGACAATTAACAAAGAGACAGAACTGATGAGTATGAGATGCAGTACGAAGTTACTACAGGTAATGCCGAATACTTGCGTAATGCTGCGCGGATCGCCTTTGGAAACAGTCCCAACATTTTAGAGTCAGGCCGAGTACGTTATCGTGGGAGTCTACAAAACGGTTGATACAAGCATCTCACAATTGTTTTAGGTCGCTTCTGTGCAGACTATATCCGGAACAGGGTCGATTCACATTGCTCTCATGTTCCTCAGCCGTTCAGTTCAAGGCTTGGAGAAGACTGTATATGTGGGAACACCCACATGGGGCAATTATCAGCCAATGTGTTCAATTGCTGGCCTTCGCTTCCAACCATACAGGCATTACTCACCCGATACCGGTCGTGTAGACTGGAACAGTGTGCTGGAAGCTGTTCGCGGAGCGGCCCCCGGCAGCATCTTCATCCTGCAGGCTTGTTGTCATAATCCGACTGCAGCGGACTTCTCTCAAGATCAGTGGAAGACGTTAGCAAAGGAGATGAAGGACAGGCGCTTATTCCCTCTGTTCGACATGGCGTACCAGGGTCTCGGGAACGGTCTAGACGAGGATGTATTCGGCTTACGCCATTTTGCGCAAGAAGGTTTCGAGCTCCTGGCTTGCCAGACTTTCTCTAAAAGCTTTGGCCTGTATGGAGAAAGGGTCGGTGCTCTTCATGCTATTTGCCCTACTGTTCAGGTGGCATCTGCTGTGCATGATCAGCTCCGCTTCTTGATCCGATCCGAGTTCTCATCTTCACCAGCATACGGAGCCAGGCTCGTGACCACGATCTTGTCAGATCCTAAGCGAGAATTAATCTGGTAAGTCCCCCAATCTTTGCAGGCAAGACAGTACTCTTATTATTATTACAGGAGGGAAGAGCTCAATAGTCTCCATCATCGACTACGCACGCTGCGAGAAAAGCTATTCCATCTGTTAAATGATGTTCATAAGGTGCGATAGAATAATTCGGTGTTAAGCTGAACGCAGTGGGCTAATATTTTATCTTTTTTACAGACTCCAGGAAACTGGGAGATCATCACTCGCGGAACAGGACTATTCAGGTAAGCATACTCTACCACGACCTATCACTTCTAAAGCCAGTTTACTAATGAAGAAAGTTTGCTGCCATTGACCATCGAACAATACAAGGCTCTACAGACCAAATACCACATTTATCTAGTTCCCAATGGTCGCATAACCGTATCCGGTCTTAATGAACGAAATATCGACTATGTAGCGTTAAGCATCGATGAGGTTGTACGGGCTTCGGAAACACCCATCCGAAACCATATCTAGATACCTTATGAGGTGGTAAATGCAAGAAAACTCGTCGAAGAAGAATAGCTAGACATATTAAAGCCATTGAAGCTTGTTGTGATTTGTTCGTATAACAACGTTTGTAATCCATATTCGTGCCGTATCTAAACTTCAAGACGAATGGAATAAAGTGCAGGGTTTCAAGACTAGACAATGAAATGCAAAGGGACTAGAGTCTGCATGAAATCTAAAATTCCTAAAATTTTATAGGCCACTCCCCGACGTACTGGGTAGCTGAGTCTTCGCTTGATCTAGTGGACTTAGGGTTTTGAATAGTGAAGGATATGGGCCTAAGTTCATTTGAGAAAATATCGTAGATAAGAAATCCACATTTTGCGGTTAACTCAATTGAAGATGAGATATATTCTAAGACCTTATCAACTAGCTATTGTTGTACGATCTTGCCAAGCTGTATTGTCCTATTTACAACCTGCCTGAAGACCGAAGCAGATCTACAGCAGCTTTGGCCATCCCCCTGAGAGCAAGTTAGCTAGACCGGAACATACCATAAACATTTCAAGTGTTTCTTACCAAGAGGCTTGATAGCCCGAGCCACCTGCGCCATAGTTGTGAATCACCTTGACGCCGTACTTTCTCTCCAACTCGATTCTAGCACCATTTATTCTACTCGCTTCATGTTTACCGTCTCGTTAGTCGTAGTTGAATAAGAGGTTCAAGTTTAGATTGAGAAATGCTTACGTCTGAAGCCCACACCTTGCTTGATGATGCGGAGATCCTCTGGCCTTCCAAGCTCTGGGACGAGGGCACAACATCTTTCCTTGATGCTCTGGCCAATGGCCGAATCAAATTCTTCATTAGAGTCACCGTTAAGCCTACATCCACCTAGAATCACACCCCCGTCTTTCCCTCGAGGGAAGACATGGGTGCTGTGGCTTCCTAGGCGTTGACTTGAACGGAAGTACATCTTGGAGATACCTGACGGTGGCGCTTCGACAAGATAGACCTGGCCCTAAGATCGTAGTTAGTATCTAAGTCCACAGTGGTCAGGACTGCTAGCATTTTGTACTTTTGCTGGGTAAACATCTTGGTCTTCGACACCCTTCAGCGTCAGAGAGCCGAGTCCTGTGCAGTTAAAAATGGCCGAAGTGGTTGGAAGTTGGCCTGGAATCTCTGACAAGTCGTCTATGATTGCTCGTCGTAACTCAATGCCGAGTTTCGCCGCTTCAGCTTGGAGCCTTTGAGTCTTTCAATTAGCTTTCCCTCACTAGCAATTGTTTGATGGAATGCATGCTGATAATCCTTACCATGGCAAGTATTTCTGCACGTTGATAACAAATGTCGAGACTTCAAACCCAAACTTGGTGCCTTGCGGAAGCTCTTCCTTTGGCAGGTACCTGATCCCTCCGACGAGGTCATTGTACCAAATTTTGTTGGTCGTTTGACTCAAGAGATCGACATTTTCAATATCATCCTCGTAGACAGATCGCAAGTCCATTGCTTCTATACCACATTCAGGGTGAGTCTTGGCTAGTTCCTGGAACTTGAGGTATGTAACGCGATCCCACTCTTCCTGAGGCCCATTGTCGGTGGCACTCGAGATCCAGTTTCCTCCAGCCCAGGCTGATGCGTATGTCGGAGCAGAGTCTCCGGGGAGATCTCGAGCAAGAACCAAGACATTGCGAGAGGGATATTGTCTCTTCAGCTCGAGCGCGGTCGTCAATCCGACTACGCCAGCTCCGAGAACGACGTACATTGCACGTTAACTTATTAGCCTTGTTGGTGGCTGAACCTCTGGTGGCAGGGGATATTAAACGAATGCGCGATAACAAGAAACTCCTGCAAATGTCTAGCCACCAAGATATAAGTGCACTGCTTTGGAAGACTTGAAGGCCTAGACCGCAATCGTGCAACCATGCTACAAAAATGAAGAAATGATCATATCGTTGACCATGAGCTAGCCAGTCCGGCGCTTCGGAGAGCACTCCCCGAGATACTTCTCCTTTTTGCCACACGTTCCGAACGATCGTCTGATAAGGCCCTAGACTCGGGGCCATTCCTTCGTAGTTTGCGGGGTATCATGGGGTAAGATTGCATGACTCGCTTTCCCTTCGGTGAGCAGAAACCGAGCCCATGATAAGCTTTAGTGAATACTGCTAGGATCAAAAGGGGTTGGTTTAGAAGTTGGTCTTTTTGATAAAGACTGACAGTTGGACGCTTCAAGAGCTTTCAACAACCAACAACGTGATAGCCTAAGTCATTCGAATAGGCCTACTTCAAAATGACGCAATCGTTCGAGAAAGAGAAGCCCAACGACCTTGGTTTGGTTGAATCCCAAACGCAGGGCGAGATGGCTCAACCAAACGAATTGCGAAGGGACTTCAAGCCGCACCAGGTCTTCATGTTCTCAATTGCTTGTGCAATTGGCACAGGACTTGTCATTGGTACAGGAAGTGCTTTATCGAGAGGAGGGCCTGGCAGTCTTTTAATTGCATACGTTCTTATCGGAATTACGGTTTTCTTTGTTATGACAGCTATTGGAGAGATGGCAACATTTCTCCCCATGAATAAAGGATTTGGAGGTTATGCGACGCGTATGGTTGATCCGGCTCTTGGGTAAGATGACCTCTCTTATAGCAACTTCCTCGCTAACATACTGTAGTTTTGCAACCGGCTGGAACTACTTCTTCAAGTACATCATAGCCACGCCGACAAACCTTACAGCTGCTGGGTTGGTTATCCAGTTCTGGAGGCCAGACCTAAATGTGGCTATCTGGATCACAGTTTTTGGAGTTGCTATTGTAACTATTAATGTATGCAGCCTACAGACTCGAGCCATTGTCTTTCTTGAGATCTAACAAGCTTTCAGATTCTTCATGTGAACAGCTTCGGCGAAACCGAATTCTGGCTAGGCTTTGCCAAAGTCCTAATCATGACGACTCTCATAATTACGACTTTCGTGGTCGCCATGGGCGGCGGCCCAAATCACAATCGATCTGGCTTTCGGTACTGGCAAGACCCTGGAGCATTCGCTGAATACTTACTCGAAGGACCCAAGGGAAGGTTTCTTGGTTTCTGGGCCTGCTGCTGCCAAGCGTGCTTTGGATTTACGGTACATAAACTTCATATTTGATACGATCCCGGTACTAATAATGTGAATAGGGCACTGAGGTTGTAGGTATGACTTTCGGTGAGACGCCAAACCCAAGGAAGAACGTTCCCCGAGCTGTGAAGCAGACATTCTGGAGAATCGCCTGCTTCTATATCCTTGGCGTCTTGGTGCTTGGCATGGCCATTCCTTACGACAACCAACAACTTATTGGCGCCACTAAACAAGCAACCAGTGGAGGTATGTAGTCTATCTGAGGTTTCTTGATGGGTTCACTAACGCCACGCTTCTAGCCGCTTCTCCCTTTGTTGTTGCAGTGTCCTTGGGCGGTGTACCTATCTTCGCCGATGTCATAAACGGATGTCTTTTGGTGTTTACTCTAAGTGCCGCAAGCTCGGGTACGTCAATTCATTACTATGTCCATAGACTTCAACTAATTCTAGTAGACATATACTGCGCCTCTAGGTCTCTGTATGGCCTGGCGAAGGATGGTCAGGCCCCTCGAATCTTTGCTAAAGCGCGCGAAAACGGCAACCCAATATACGCTGTCGGTATCACTTCTTTATTCATTTGCTTAGGATATATGAACGCCAGCAAGTCTTCTTCGACTGTTTTTGGATACTTTGTCAGCTTGGTGACAGTTTTTGCTGTTCTCAATTGGGTTGCCATCCTGATTACTCACATCCGTTTCCGTCAAGCCTTGAAGGCACAAGGCATCGTCGCAGCTAATCTGCCCTATGTTGGGTTTCTCCAGCCATATGGCTCCTACTTCTCATTATTCATCTCACTCCTAGTCATTGTCTTCAATGGTAATTACCCTCCCTTCGCTTTAGTAATAAGAGCCCGCGCTAACTAGGAGAACAAGGTTATGATGCCTTTATCCCGCACTTCAAGGCCGATCTATTTGTCCTAAAGTACCTTGGTACCATAATCTTCATTGTCAACGTTGTTTGGTGGAAGATCTCAAAGAAGACGACTTTTTGGTCTGCTTCAGCTGTGGACCTCAGCACAGGTAGACGAGAGTGGGGAGAGACGGAGAGACAGGAGGAAGTGCATTGGGAAGGCGGATTCTGGAAGAATGCTCTCAGGAGGTTCAAGCAATGAAAACCATTATCAACTCTAGATACGACAATTGATACATCTCGCGCTGTACTCTGACGGGTTCACTTTGGGGCCAGACGCAGCAAGTCAGAGACAAGCTTTCAGACACTCGTGGCCTACAATTTCGATTTGATGCGATGTTAGTCTCTGGAGCTATTGTGAAGTCTTAGGCATAACCCAATACAAAGGTTTAAACTACCATTTCATATGACCAGATAATTATACCGCTATTGGGAGATGACACGGCTTAGCTGGTCACGCTCAAGCTCACTTTGGCATCGAGCTCGTGAGGTAAGATCCGATTACGTCAACAATCACTAGGAGAACGGTGCGAACCTGAGCCGTCTATGAATACTCCCACATTGGTTGTCGAACATTACCTCATGATTTGACAACGGCGGCTATAGGGTACTGTCATGCCTCTTAGCCCATTATGAAAATTAGTCTTAGCTTAGCAACCCATTGTAAAGGAGCACTCTTTGGAGAGTGGGTTTTCGATGATTCAGTCTCGGGCACCTGGTAGGCAGATTGGCAGACGAACGGAACCAAACTTTTTGAGAATCTCGCTCCCCGACCCGCACAACAGTATCTCTAACAGACTAGCGTTCGATAAGCCCGGTACGAAGGCATTGTGCACCATGGCAACGATTGCCGAGGACCTCAACCGAATTTCGGAGAGTGGTCCCCGAACCAGAAAGTAGCTTCCGAATACCATTCGGAGAGCCCGAGCCCAGGGCAGACCGACCATCTAGATAAAGCAAGGGTACCTAGTCATCTCAGCGATATCTAGACGAATGTTAACAGTCCACACTCCAGTCTAGCAAAATGCTCGCTTGCTGGAATACCCTCAAGACAAGAACTGCCACTGGGCAGCTCTGCAAGGTGTGTATGCATCCCCATGGCGCTACCGTGGAATGAATTCTGCCTGTAACATAATTTGTGTGCTCTGGTGTTTTATCACGGGCTCCCCAAACATTGTAGCACAATTTCCGCCCTGTCAGGTGCTGATAATGTAAATTCCCAGGCTCTTGGCATACGACTCGTCACAAACCCTCAAGTGGTACAGCTAGCCAAGAACGCAGGTTTCGATAGTCTGTTCATAGATTTGGAGCATTCGACGTTTTCTCTCGATGACGCTGGCAAACTATGTGGTGCTGGACTTGCTCTCGGCATAACGCCTTTTGTGCGAGTGCCACACCAATGCGGCAACGGGTTCATCCAGAAAGTCCTCGACGCAGGTGCCATGGGAATAATCTTTCCTCATGTACAGAATGCAGGTAAGTCACATATAATGTACCTATCTATCTCTTTTTACCAAAGCTCACTCCACCCAGATGAAGCAAAGGCGGCTGTGGCTATCTCAAAATACCCTCCCCAAGGCTGTCGTTCGATCACTGGCCAACTGCCAGCCTTGTCTCTCAAGTCCTTTCCTCAGCCTGACGTGATTCGCGAGACTAATGAGCACGCATCATCAGTATTTGTCATGATAGAGAACGAGGGAGCGGTTGAAAGAGTAGATGAGATTGCCGCCGTGGAAGGAGTCGATGTCATACTGATTGGATCCAATGACTTGGCTATCGAGCTCGGTGCTCCTGCTGATTTTCGCAGTGACAAATTCCGCCAGGCTTTGACGCGGGTAAGCAAAGCATGCAAGAAGAATGGAAAGGTTATGGGTCTTGCAGGTATCTACAATACGCCTGACATTCACGATTGGGCCATTCATACATTGGGCGTGCGTTTCATGTTATGCCAGCAAGATTCAGGCTTGATCGCAGGCGCTGCTACGGAATGTAGGGCTACCATAGAAAGTCTTGAGAACACTCCTTTACCAAATTCCACGAATGGATCAACTTAGATAGCACGTTATACCGTCTTCATCTAATGCTGTCTCTCGGTATTCAATAGGCTGTAACTTCAACTGCATTTTAATTCAGGGAACAACGCTGGCGTAACAAGATATGTGCGACTCAGGCAACGGCATATATTATATGTATTCTTATATTCTATCTATGCCAGGGTGCCCTAACGACGGAGTGAATTTGTGCGGGAGAACCATTTCATCCGTCCATGAAAAACACCGTGCTCCAGTTTTGCGGGATTAGGAGACGGACGCCCCAAGCCAAAGCTTTATCCGTAGCGGACATTTCATTCTCCGTCATGACCCCTCAGTTCTCCAACTACGAGAATCGTACGAGTCATTCAGTTCCGGTCATCCACGGCGGGGTTTGATTGCTCCGATCGAGAATAATGAATTCTCCAACAGCCGGAGAAAAGACTAGTGAGAGAATCGAGGCACACGGCGAGATGGATATGGTTTTCACGATTACGGCGCAGTGGTAAATCAGCCTAGGCCGTTGCTTCGTCCAAGGCCTTGATTACACAATATGGAATAAATACTCGCATTTTGTCTTAGAACAACCTCTACTTTGATCGTGCCGAGCTCTGGGCCCTCCGGGCCTCCTGGAAGGCTAGCCCCGACACCAAGCTTCTAGAGTGAAGGGGCCAACCTGACGCCTACGACGAGGTTCTTGCAAGTGAGCTTTTCACTAAGATCCAGACCATCAATTTCCAACAAGATCCCAGCATTTTAATCAGCTGGCTAAGTTACCACAAGGATGTTCATTATAGGGAAGGGGGAAGAGTACTGTGAACGAGTGGGAAAAGTTCCTATATCTGTCGACGTAGATGTCCTCATTCTCGAGGGGAGGGATGGTATTTGAACATCACGGATGGCGTAGTAAAAGCAACATTGGATCTTGGTAAAGAATCAAACGGGGGGATTTGAGGGCGCAGGGAATGGAATTCACTTAGACCCTCGGTGACCACGACTTGAACCATCTCTTACTACCTAATCAACAAAAGTCTGTAGCGGTGTTGTAGAAGATTCACCGGTCCACGGCACTTTAATGGCTTCTATAGTTGAGTAGAGAGCGTTTCTTTCAACACTTATGGGCGGAGACTGGACTAAGAGAGGGCTTTCCGGCGGCACAAGCCTGGAATGACGGACGAGCAGGTGTGGATTTGTCGGGGTTGCATACCCGCGTACGAACTTTCTTAGGGCGTCTCCAAAAAGAGATCTTTCCCTCTGGGGGGAAACAAAAGCACATTGGAAAAATTGAACACAGTCAAATTACCTTGAATATGTGAAGGGAGGTGATGCTGATTAGACATGCGGAGTAGCATGTAAATGGATGAATACGTGGACTAGCCAATGTCTGACAAACCATGATACTCTCTTGACACTCTGCTCTTGTATATTTCCTCTTCCCCGTTGCACGAGGCAACTAAGTTCCTCTACATCTAGAGTCATGTGGTCTCCCATGCAGGAAGTAGCCCGATTTAAGCCAACCCCAACGTTTGGTGTTCGTTTCCCCGCGCTTTTGGGTCTAACCTCGCCCACATTTTTCATCTCATCCCCAGCTTCCCCGCAGCAACGGTTATTTCTTTGTCCGCGACCCTAAAGTTATTGAGTTTAAGCTTGACACTAGGAGAGTCGAGACGCTTCATTGCTTGATGGAAAGCCTGAGGGGGGAATATCAACCCCGGAATCTGGGGTTGATGGTCCGTTGTGGGGGCACCCTGGCATAGAATATAAGATCCATCGGTCGGCGCACGAGATTCGAAAGATTTGTTCTAGCAGCAGTCTCAATTGATTTTCTCCTCAACCAAACCATCATTCGAACAATCTATCGCTGCAACTTTCACCTGGTTGAGAATGGGATCGGACGAGAAGCGAAACAGCGCTGAACGCCCTCATGAGGCTCAGCTCGAGATGACTCCCTCCGCCGGCCTTGAAAAAGGTGGTATTCTGGTGGGAGAGGAAGCCGACTACTCTGGAGCGGTAAAGAAGTCCGACCCTGAGGAGATTCGTCTTGTTCGAAAGTTGGATTATCGTATTATGCCTACTCTCTGGGCAATGTACTTCCTCAACTACGTGAGTGCCTCCCCGGTATGATTGATCCAGCATGCAGTATTGACTCCAGAGTTCGCAGCTTGACCGCAATGCTATTGCTCAAGCACGATTGAACAACCTCGAGAAGCATCTGGGACTTCAGGGAACTCAGTACAATACTTGCATCTCCATTCTGTTTGTCGGGTAAGTGCCAAGTCTTTCTGATTATTCAAGTGTAATTTGAAACTGACAGCGATAGGTACCTGCTTATGCAAATCCCTTCCAACATGCTCATCTCCACGAAACGCGTTCGTCCTTCGGTCTACATGGCGGTGTGCATGATGGGATGGGCCGTTGTGTCCGCCTGCACGGCACTCGCCAAAAACTATGCCGGCCTTGTCGTCGTTCGATTCTTTCTTGGCATAGCGGAGGCGCCTTTCTATCCGTCCGTCTCCCCTCTTTGTTATCTGCATGTTTGGTTGATGTTTCCCACTTTGGAGTGTTGGGGCTGAGGACGCTGGAGTGGGAGCTTCACTAACCGCAAACACTTTCTTCACCAAGAGGCTAACAATGAATTTTAGAGGCGCACTTTACATGCTATCGATTTTCTATACCCGCAAGGAGATTGCTACCCGACTAGCCATCTTGTACTCTGGCAACATTTTCGCCACGTCCTTCTCCGGTCTCATTGCAGCCGCCACATTCAGTACCCTTGACGGCGCCCACGGGCTTCACGGATGGCAGTGGCTTTTCATCATCGAAGGCGTTGTTACGTTTGGTGTGGGCTTTATTGGTGCCTTCACACTAGCTGACAGCCCTCTTACTACCTGGTGGTTGACCCCCGAAGAGCGACAACTTGCGCATGACCGGATGATCAAAGACACGGTTGGTCTTGAAGAAAGCAAGGGAGCCCGTGCCGGTTTCAAGCAGGCTATTCGTGACCCTCGTCTATGGCTCTTCTGCTTCATCCAAAATATGCACCTTTCCGCCTGCTCCTTCAACAACTTCTTCCCCACCGTCGTCGGCTCCCTCGGCTTCAGCAAGACCATTACTCTCGTCCTCACCTGCCCGCCATATCTCGTCTCCGGATTCTTCGGCTACGGCGCTGGTCTGTTGTCTGGCAAGTACAATGAACGTACCTGGCACATCACGGCCTGTATGGGCATGGCGCTGGTGGGCTTCATCATCTCCTGCGCAACGCTCAATACCGCCGCTCGCTACGTCTCTTGCTTCCTCTTCGCCAGTGGCGCATATGCAGTCAACTCAATGATTCTCGGATGGGTGTCTGCTACTCTTGGGTCCACCCCCGAGAAGAAGTCGGTCAGTTTGTCCATCGTCAACGTGGTCGCCAACGCATCGTACATTTACACCGCATACCTGTATCCCTCGTCCGATGAACCCAAGTACCTCATTGGAATGGCAAGCAACGCTGCCTTTGCGACCATGACGATCGTATCCACCTGGGCTATGCGTATCTGGCTTGTCAGGGCCAACAAGAAGATGGACCGTGAGGGTAACACGGACGCTACTCGCTACGCTTACTAAACTCGCTCATTCGGGAACATTTTCGCACTGATTGATTGAGAGGTTGGTGCAAAAATGTTGAGGAAATATCCACAGGGAAATCCGTGATTCAAGCAGCTGGTGCAGCAGCCAGTAACCTGCCGGAATCTTCTCCTCCTGTCAATGGCTATTTCAAACAAGCCATCACGACTCCAATAATGAAGTTGTATTATAAGAATCACTCCATGTCTCGTTACTCAGGTAATATAGCAGTTACGCCAGTGAAAAATTATAATAACATCAGATTAAACGTTTGTTTACTTGAAAGATTGAGTACCAAACGTGATCAGCGGCCTAGATGGGTGTCTTGACCAATGATGGCATTGCTACCTAGTGTTGTCCGTACGGATTGTGGGACGACAGGTCTGAACAAGGTGCCCTGCAAGGCTCAAATCAGTTGGCTAACTGGATGCGGAAACTTAAACGATGCTTATGGGCTGAGCGTTGGTTGATATGTTGATTTACGACTCCAGTCCTGCCAATTTAGCGGTACGCGCACAGGGGTGGTGCTTACAAGCCACAGATTACAACTGAAAGTTCTAACACCATGGAGGGAGAGAGTATCTTGGAAGAAACAAATTTCTACACATGCTAAAGACATCAAGAAGACAGATCCCATCTTAATGGGCTAAGCAGAAGTAAAGAACCATTCTTCAATTTTAATGAGGCTCGTCTCGAACAAAAGCAAGGGAGTCAGCTTCAAGTTACCAGGTTCGCAAAACTCGCAGGATCATCGCCACGTCCATGCGAGGCTTGGCAAATGTAACCCCCTGGCTTAGCAGACAGCTGCCTACAAAAATGATGACTCCTCCCCTCCCTTCATTCACCAAGCTCGACTCATTTCGTCCGTCTAGCACAGAAAAGATGCCTTCAAGCGAATTTTTCGGCTACACGCTCACCAACCTTGGTCCCCTAACCACGACGTTTACGGCCCCATCGGCATGTGCGACTAAAAGTGATAACTTGGTGTGGTATTCGCGCTATGACGCGACCCTGACGGCTGGAATAGGAAGAGACAGGTATCTTGGCAAGGAATCATGCGGCAACGGATCGACACGCGATGATTGTATCCCGTCCGGCGAGGCTATCCACAAAATGGTATCGGCATCTCCATCGGCCAGTAACATTTGGTATCACTCACCAGGAATCTCCTGTCCCAGTGGTTGGACAACCGCCGGCACTCTAAAAGGCGGCGCAGAACCGACAGGCTCTGGTATATTCGTTCAAGAGGCAATCAAAATGTGGACAAACGAGAGTGCTTACCAGGTCATCCTCCTTCCCCAACTGTTCGCAAATGCGCTGGACACCGATGAAATAATGGCCATGTGCTGCCCAAGGTTAGTTTGAACTCCTTCTCGATTCTTTGCATAAAAGTCGATACCCATCGCCTTGCCAGTACCAGGCAACTTTACAGTCTTTACTAACCTCGAGATCCAGTGGCTGGGTAGCCGAACCTCTTGGTGGATCATGCTCATCCTCAATCGGCAATCTCGGTTCAGTGTCGAAATCGACAGCTTGTAATGTGTACTGGACCGGCTTGGATGTTGACGATGTGTATGTGACATCGTATGCTGGCAAGACGTGGGATCCGCCTCTCAGATCACAGGACCCCATCACCGAAGAAGCCATCACCTCCACGAGGACTTTAGCCAATACTGGAACCGGGACATTTTACAACGCAGATAATGTTTACTTGGCCACGCAAACAGGAGGCGTAATCATGGTCTATAAAGAGGCCGAACTCAACGCATCAAAGGGTGACGATGGGAAAGGGGCGGGAGCTGTAACAAAAGTCGGGATTGTCTTGCCAATGCTTTCTGTAGCGCTCTCTCTTTTCTTGGGTTCAGGACTCGCGCTATGAGTATGGTGCTACGAGGAGACATATCTTTCAATTATTAAGACCTATTCGTTTTAAGCTCACATTCCATGATATTCTCTGATATACCTAACTTATAAGAGAACCTAAGCTAAAGCAGCATTGTTTCCGAAAGCGAGAGAGGGTGAGAGGACAATAGTCTGTGGACTTGGCTGATTTAACTTGCCGAAATTTGCATTTTATTTCACATGACAACTGATGGGGACATGAGTTTGCATCAAGCCTTGGGTCATCATTTATACCTCGTTGCTAAATCAGGGCACACACTAAGTAAGCTTCCCTCCGGCCAGAAGCTCTGATGCAGCCTTTTTCACAGCCTGCATGGCAATAGCATGAAGGCTTGGTCCTACGCTGATCCTCGCGACTCCCTTCTCCGCCAACTCAGCTGTGGACAACGCGTCTGGTTTCATCGATGCCTTCACCGCGACCCTACCGCCAAGTTTCTGCACCAGAGTTGATACTTCTGCATCTCTCAGACCACGCCCTGAGCCGCCCCAGAAAAAGACAGTGGTGGCGCCGGCTTCAAGGTATGCTTTTCCACGCGCAACAGCCTCATCCATGAGAGAATCTTGTGGGAGATACGCCGAGCTCGGGGGGTAGAAGGCGTCACACCGAGCATTGAGGACAAAGTCGGGACAGCCCGCATCTGCAGCTGCCTTCAGCGCAACCTTCAGCCGCCCAACCTGCTCCTCAATACCGTAGAACGCGCCTGTTTCTGGGTGAGTGTCCTCGATGTTTGCTCCCACAGCACCGGCTTTGATGGCCGCAGTCACAGCCTCGGCGATGCGGGAACCGTATCCATCCTGGAGGTCGGTGGAAAGTGGTAGGCCTGCTTTGGCGGCAACGGGCGCAAGCCTAGCGATGGCTTCAAGGTTCTGGTCGTAAGTGAGCTGCTCGTCTGGGATGCCTAAGGTCGCTGCAATAGCGTAAGATGCGGTAGCAACAGCCTTCACGGGCCTGCTTTCTTCGGAGTTGAGAGAAATGAGTGCGTTAAGAGATGAGATGTCCCAGACATTTGGAATGATGAGGGGCTGCGAAGGGACGTGTAATTCCTTCAGAGTTTTTGCTGCGTTGTTGGAAGCCATTTTCGAGAGAGATTTTCGCTGGATATCGATGTCGGAACGTTGAAATCTTTAAGGATAACGATCTAGAATGACAGATGTATGGAGTGAGTCACGCTGCGTTCACGCTGGAGTCATCTAGGGCGTGGATGACACTCCCCGCATCAGAAATGGCACACGCTCTCCACGTTTCCCCAACCGCTTGAACTCATGTGAGCTAGTGTAACGGGTTTCTAAAAGCCAGCCGAAGAAAAAATGATGCTATCCGCAGGAAGATGCCCTAGCAATAGAATCTTCTGTCATGTGCCCTCAACAATGCCATCTGCAGCTCAGGCCAAGGATTCACTGGCAAGTGTCGAATGAGCAATTGATTCATTACAAGCTGAACTACAATTGCCAAGCGATATGTTTTCGTTAGACATGCCGCACCAAACCGCGATTATCCGATGCCGATGCCATAGCAAACAAAGTGCATGCAGTAACCATTACCAAGCACTGACACAATGAGAGAAGAATGAATAGCAAATGCTCACTATTCTGTTTAAATCGTACAAAGAAAATCCAAGAAAACCTTTAGCGCGAGAACAACAAATCTCAGTATCATATGAGTGTCAGCTAATTTCGGTACTCGTGTGTCTTCCTTAATAAATTCACATTTGCTACCTATGTAGTAAACCCCCCTCAAAACAAAAGAAAATGATGTGTACATGCAGCATAGAACGGAGCCTCATGCGATATGTGAACTCGCGATAGAAGTGTTTGGTAAAGAATTAAGCCAAAGCCTGATCAAGCTCCAACATCCAACACCTCTGCCTGGTCCTCCATTCTGAGAAATGAGAATATCAGATGCGTTTCTTGTGCTCTTCTTCCAGACGTTGGCTGAACGGCTTCAGGTTCAGAACGATCCGGTCCTGTATTTTGGCATTGTTAGAAAGGTACTGCTAGCACATCAACAAAACATGACTTACGACAAAACTTTGCGGTAGGAGCCACAGTGCTGTGCGAATTATTCGCACACCACCGCCGACCCAATGTTTTCCTGTCGCTCCCTTGACCACCAGATGCAAGACCTCCTGGGCAAATACGGGCGGTTCAACACCATAGGGATTCTGCTCAGGCTTGGCCTCGATTATGTCTTTGACGCTCAGGTAGTATGAGTTCTCGGGGAAGGCAAGCGTCTGGAGATTGGCGAAGAAGTTGGTAGCAATGCCTCCCGTGATGAGAGTAATAACTCGCACGCCCAGAGGCGCCATCTCTAGACGCCAGGTTTCGCTCGCTTGGATTAAGGCTGCTTTTGTCGCGTTGTAGATACCTATAGAAAAGTCTGGTTAGAAGATACTCTAACTATAGTAGTTCGATCCTACAGACTTACTAGAGAATGCAAAGGGTATAGTTCCTCCAACAGATGAGTTGTTCACTACGCAGCCCTTGGCTTCCACGAGCATCGTGCTGAAAGCCTGCATCATGGCCAGTACGCTAAAGAAGTTGAGATCGAAAAGCTTCTTGGCTTCTTCTATGGATTGATCCAGGCCTGGGCTCGTAAGTCCTAAGCCAGCGTTGTTGATCAACACATGCAGAAGTTTTGTACGTTGGCGAACTGATTCCAAGGCTGAATTGATGGACTCTGCAGATGTCACATCGAGCGTAAGAACCGTAACATTTGGTGCGCTATGCAGAGATTGTGGAATCTTGGAGGGTGACCGAGCAGTCGCGAAGACGTGATAGCCCTTGTTCATGAAAGCCTCTGCAAGGGCGGCGCCAACCCCACCGGCTGAGCAGCCCGTGACAAGACAAGTCTTTTGTGTGGCGTCCATTATGATTGATGTGATGAAATAAATACTGAAGTGAGATAGAGATTATTGGATCATGAAACTCGAATCGACAAAGGTGTGAGCTCATATATACCTACCCAGCCGTGGCCAGATATCGCCCTCTACGATCTTCCCATACATCCACCAAAGTACCCAAGTAACTCAGCACCGAAATACGGCAGCCTATCCGTATAGAGAGCGAGTAATACCGAGTACTTTACTCCGTAGAACGACTTCGAAGTTGTGACATATGTAAGCCCTTGTCTACCTAGATCAGGTCCGCTTGGCTATGATTGGCTGCCGACTCCGGACAGAGAAAAGGTGATTGGCTGACGAACTCCGGAAGCGAGGGTGTCATCAATCATGGCACTCTTACCATCAATCCTCAAATTTTCTGTTTTATTCATACAACCTCCTTTCTTGCTTGGCGCGCTTTGATTTGACGACAACACCGAAAGTTCTCATGGCTAAGACCCGGGCGAAATCTTGCGCCCAGTGCCGCGCCGCAAAATCCCGCTGCTGCTTGTCAATCCCATGCTCACGATGCGTAAATCGAGGTCTCGACTGCCAGTATCTCCCTGCACAAAGGGCTGCCGAGCCTCGAAGTGGTCGGAAGCTTGCTCTAAGGACTTTACTTTCTCGCACATCTAGTGCTCCGAGTTTCCCGCAGAGCGGAGAGATTGATGATCCAATATTAAACCATCAGCTTACATCACTTGCCGATCCTATCGTGACGGGAGAGAAGAGGCTGGCGAGGAAGTCCGCCGATTCTAACTCAAATTTGGATGTGGATCATTCCATTGCTGAGATGGCTCAGTTGTTGGGGACAGGTCCCATGATGCCAGAGTTATCAATGGTTCCGATGTCTACACCACCGCTTTGCGCCTCACCTACAACGTCCCTACCACTCCTTTCCAACTCCTCTGGATCAGCCATTGACTTCCCATCACCTCTTGCGGCTCTATCTGAGACGTCAACCATGTGCTATCCAGTCATGTCAGCGGTACAGAACCCGCTAAGTTCGGAGCCGCCCCTAAGTGATTCGGACATTTCCAACTTCTTGTCGACATTGTACTCCCCGGACTTCGCTTTTACACCTTCAAGGTTCAACTCTGATCGGCCCAACTTGCCATTCCTACCGAACCCCAGCCATATAGGTTTCTGGCTTCCCACAAGTCCAGAAATGGCCAAGTTTGGACACAACTCAAACCTCTCGGTGCGTGTGAGATCATTTCAGCAAGGCTCTCTAACGGGCAAGATGCTGTTGAGCCAGGTAGTCGAGTATGCGCGCTTATTTTCAGACGGTAAACATATGCCACCTTTCATATACCCCCCATGCCGGCTCAGTCCAGGGATGGAGTGCCCTTCTGGCAAGCATCATACCTGCCTGCCTCCAATATTAGCCGTTTGTACCCACCTGAGTCGAATGTTTTACACCCGAACTCCAGGAAGCACACACTTCGTCGTGCAGCAAATATACGTGCACTTACACCAACTAAACTCCGAGGTAAGACCTTTCTTATGACAAAGTGAATTAAATGCGATACTGAACAATACCAGTATCAAAACTACGATCATGAGAGAATGTTGCAGTCTTTACAAGCAGCAGTCATTTATGGCCTGCTCTGTTCTCAATGCCCAGACATCGTTCCGGATGCGGATGCAGCTTGGCTAGTATCAATCACCGAGGTAAGGTTTTTTCTGCGTAGGACAAGAGCACACCTAACACGAACGCGCATTATTAGAAGTTTTCCCGGACGTTATATGGTCAAAACTATTCACTTCTGGGTGTAGATTATATCTGCTCATCACGTAGTGCCTGGGCATTTATGGAGAGCATAAGACGGTATGTGTATTTCCTACAGACCGACTTGCTTGATATCAAAGTTCGGACAGTTAATTAGGCAAAGCAGAGTCGGTTGTCTTCTTTATCTGATCGATTTACTCTTCCATATCGACGCTCGAACCCCCTCAAGAGGGGACTGTCCGGAATTCGTTGACTTGCCGCTGCCTTCAGGCCGTGAACTGTGGCAACCGATGTGCGATGAAGATTGGAAAAAGCGATATGAAAAGGATATTGACTCAAGAAAGGTAAAAGGGACACGGCAATTAACTATGGGGGATCTTTTTATGTTGAAGAAGTCTAGAATCAATAGTGGTCAAATGGTTCAGTCAACACAGGATGGTATCATTGGAGAGATCAACGAATGGGTCAAGGAGGTGGACGACTTTTCCATGCTTCTGTGGTTAGCTTTTACACTAGAAGGAGGCGGACAAGCAATAATAGAGAAGCAAGCGTAGCTTTTAGTTCTCTCAAGCCAAATAGCGGTTTTTCGACCCTTGAACTCCCTGTCGTAAGTCTTGTGAGATTGTTTGGACGTCTTGCCGACTTCATTTTCAAAGCTTCATGTCTTGTGCGAGCCAAATCAGGAGCCTAACTAGAGCTCAAGGTTAAGAGTAAGTTGTCAAACGTTAAACCCCACTTGCATTCCTCGATGGGGGTAGCATCAAATGATGGCCAAGGCGCGCCCTTCGCTGGATCAGTGGGTTCATTTGAGTATATCTTGTACTTGAATCATCATACTCTCTCCCCCTCTTGTTATAAAGCTGCCATAATTATATATCTTGATACTCGATCTAAGCTATGAATTATGATCCGCTTTTCTACGACAAACCGCACTATCTAACAGCTTTTCAGCGCCATCATTGTGTCCTACAGATCCATCTCTTTGCAGAGAATCTAATATCAACTTTAAACAATGAAGACGATTGGTATTATCGGAGGCAGCACAACCTTCGCCACGGAGGAATATTACAGGGCAATTAATAAGGGCATACGTCAGCAATTGGGAGGCTATCATACTGCCGAAATCATCATCAACTCCATGGATTTTGCAAAGAGCGCACACTTTGTGGAAAACGGTCTTTGGGAAGAGGGATCCGAATTTCTGCATGGCAAAGCTTTAAGCTTACAAAGAGCGGGTGCAGACTTCATCATCTGTGTGTCCAACACATGGCACAGATGTGCAGACGAATTTATGAAAGGTATCGACATTCCATTCCTTCACATTGTCGATCCCACAGCCAAAACTATCGCACAAGGAGGCTACAAGAAAGTAGCTCTGCTGGGAACTATGGTGACCATGTCCCAGCCATTCCTCAAAGAGCGCTTCGAGCAGTTTGGGCTCGAGATAGTTGTCCCGACGACGAATGCGCAATCGCTGATCAACAAGATCATCTTTGAAGAGCTTTCAAAGGGAGAGTTCAAGGAAGAGTCGCGCGCAGGGTATCTCGCGATTGTGGATGAGCTCTACGCAAACGGCTCCGAGGCAGTCATTCTTGGCTGCACTGAGATAGGGCTGCTCATTAAGCAAAGCGACCGACCGAATATTACCATGTTTGACACTCTTGCTATACATGTACAGGCGATTGTACAATTTGCTTTAAGTAACTATCCCTAACTTAATCCAACTGACGGAGGCTGGATTGATAGCCATAGTCCCAGTAATTAAAGACAGTCAAAGCAATGAATAGGTCATTCGAGAGCTGTGAACCCCTTTCACTTTCCAACTCCGACTAACAAATGACTGCAAGACTACCTTTGGAGAGGTTTGACCATAACCCAATCCTTCAACATCGTGTTCCCTAATTTGAATGTCATTTCCCCATGCTTAACGTAACCAGACCTGCTGTACAAACGCTCTGCATTTGGGTTGAGCTCCCATGACGCCAACCAGATATTCTTGAATCCCATCAACGCTGCCTCCTCTTCTGCCTTCAAAAGCAGCTTCTTTCCTAGCCCAAGTCCTTGATGTTTCTCGCTAACGTAGAGTCGCTGCAATTGGATTTTGTTGTCGAGGTTGTCAATACACCTTTCCGAACTATCTCTCCTCAACTGGGCGAAGCCAATAATTGCATCGCCTTCCGTTGCAACGATAAACGTTACAGCAGGATCATCTAATTCGGCGGCGATGTTGGTGGCTGAATATGACTGCGACAAATATATTTTCAAATCTTCACTAGGCATTAGAGCCGAAAAAGAGTGTTTGAAGACGCGTGAGCCGAGTGATGCTATGTCCACGGCGTCTTCAGCCTTGCCGTGTCGTAATTGAAAGTTGGGAAGCATTTGGGGGTTTGACGGATCACCACAAGGCCACGTTTGCTGCTAGATATCCAAGATCTAAAGATTAACAATAATATTAGGCCAGAGACTAGAGTTATTAACTATCCCATGGACCTGCTCGTTCGGATTCTTTCAATGCTGTCTTCTACTTTCTTTAAGACAGCGGAGCGAATTCAATTACCTCACCTTGAACAACTCGCGCCCTGCTAATCACATGAAGGGCGTGTCCCACTTCGCCCAATTTCTGCCTCGGAATTGCCGCAGAAATCAACATTCACTAAGGACTTACATAGACAGCGATTCACAGATTCGTGCATCGTGGCCCGGAAATTGTGTCCTTATTAGTCAAGACTGTCTAAGCCTGACGCTCTGATGGTAAGGCAGTGGATATAACCAGATTAGGGTTGCACTTCTGAACAATTTGGCCATGGCCGGGACACCATCCGAATGTGCATCGAAGAGGTGTCATGGGAGGCTATTGATATGAAAATTAAGAAACTCTCAACTTAATAAGATCTTTCCTAATAAGTGTAATCCCTTGCAGATCTTTCTACAGATATAGCGTGTAACATTTATTTGTGAACCTCGACGTATCAGTTGAGAAATCAAGAAAACGCCCCTGTTGGAAATTACTGCGCTCGTCAGCACGGGAAAGATTACCCCGGCACATCTCAGCTCCTTCAGCTTGGTGAGATCGAAGTTTAACGGTTGCTTATCTACCCCGACCCGACTCCTATATGCTCTTTTATATTGCTTCCGTCCATTCCGCATAAATCTGACTGAAATGGGCAACAGCAGGCTCAAATTCAGCCGCAATGCCACCTCGTCTTCGCGCGGTCCCCATATCCAGCTGTTGGGTGGGCGGGTTATCTATCGCCTGGGCAGCCCCCTTTAACGAACTGCACATGGCACCTTACCATTGCCAAGACGGTAGCATCTTCAGGTCTCCTCTAGTGCGTGCAACGATCAGCATCCGCGCGCTCACCAGCCGCAATACTGCCCAATGTCCGGCTTCGCATTTGGCACCTCTTGCGTCAACACTCCCTCCAACGGATCCGGGCGCCAAAGACCGCCGAGCGAGCAAAATATATCGCACATGACCAGACTGACATGGCTACCCTGAAACCTGCTGGCGGCCGTCAGAGCCCAAATGCGACTCTCGGGACCGTACGATTACTGACAGATCACCAAATCCGTAAGCGAGGGGGAGGGGGCTGGAGACAAAGCTGCATTCCAGAGGCACAAAGCCATCAACAACCAGCGACACCGGCCACTAATATGTTCATCTTTGTCCCCATCGTCCGTGCTCTAATGGCGGCGCTTGCTTTTCCACCCCCAGAGATCCATCTCCAGCTGGACAAGCTCGCTGCGGCACGTAAAACCGGCCACACGCCGCATGAACCCAACGCAGGTTTAGGGCCGCGAGCCCACCAACTGCAGGAGGTGAAACCAGATCATGCAGGGGGCGTGCCCTTTTTTGGTGTGTGTGTGTCGCCACTCCGGCTTACTCTGCATCCACGATGAACTCTGTTGATGGTGTGTTGGACAAAATGTATCTTACTCCCGCTTCTTTGGGAGTGATAACCCCCCCGTGGCGTCCATGTATATGAGGGAAATTTGCCCTTTTCTCCAGCACTGCCGAGGGATTGATTGCACGAACTGCCGTGGTAGACTTTTGCAATCATGCCTGGGCCGGAGTACCCTCGCAGCAGTGAGAACATGGTCCTCATTTGGGGTGCGGCCGACACGGGAAAATCTGCCTTTGTTCAGCGAGCCTGCTACGACGTGTTCCCCCCAGAAGTAAGCAAACCCAAAGTGGTGGCTCTCATCACGAAAAGCATCCCGGCATCAAGGACTGGCCGACTAACTGCGATGCAATGGGGCAGCTCGACCCGTTCGACGGCGAGGGAGACCGCAAGCTGGCCGTGGTGGACGGCGAGTCGCGCGCGCTCTGGATATTCTGCGTGAGCAACATGGCCGCGACGGGCATGGTGGAGAGCTTCATCAGGCGCAGCGACATGTTCGTGCTGGCCTACAGCGTGGGGTCGGACGATTCCTTTTTCCAGATGAACCGGGCGTACTATCTAATACGGGAGTTGAGGGGTCTCTGGGCTGATGAGCATGTTCCAATAATCATAATCGGCAACAAGTGCGACCTGCCTTCGAAGAGGAGGGCCCTGCCTGGAGGGAGGCGGCGGGGCTACGGGTCGTCTTCCCACGAGGATGTCAGAGTTGTGTCCTACGAGGAGGGTGCCTGTTTAGCTGAGCAGCTGGGGTGCCCGTTTTTTGAAACCTCGGCCAAAGAGAACATTAATGTCGAACAAACATTTAATGAACTGATCAGGGCACACAATAGGCTGGAGGACCTGCGGAGAGAGACGAAAAGAAGGTCGTGTAGAGTGCCGCCAAACAGCATCTCGCTACCTACGTGTACAATGCCTATACTGCCTGTGGGCGTCGAAGGAGGGAAAGAGCGGTGGCGAAGGGCCATTAGAAAAGTCATACAAACTAGAAGAGTGGTACAAAGAGGAATGACAAGATACTAAGCTTCATTCAGTCTGTGCACTTCTTAATGTTCCATGAGAGCAGACTAACGCGTTAGCAATGCGCTTGAAGGTAAAGCCCTTCTGTGATGACTGAGTTGAGAGACTCTTCAGACTTTTACTACGATGAGGTTCGGGTTAGAACAGTCACTATGACTTTTCTTGGGCGCTTTGATCATACTTGCAGTAGGATTGAACTAATGCTTGTTTTGTTATTGGTCGGTTTGATCATTGGACATTTTGGCTTAGTTACTCTTCAAAGAGCACCTTTCTGCGAAAATAAAATGGCCAAGAACCTTCGTCATTACCTGAGTCGCTGGTTTAGGCGAGAATCTGAAGGTTCCTTATAAACCTACTTGGAACGTCCATCCCTCTCAAGCATCTCCCAAACCTCCAGTCAAAACAGTCATCTTCAATAGCTCCATCACTTCCCAAATATTCAGACCAAGAATCTCACAATGGAGCTTCTTGCATGGTTACAAGATTGCGAGGATAGTGATTGCGTGGTGAAATGCGGAGATGCAGAGTTCAAGGTCCACCAGAGTATTCTCCGGGAGGCATCCCCGCTCCTCGACGTATACCTCAGTTGCTCCTCTACGAAACACAAAAAGGTGGTCTCGGTGCCTCATAATTTCGGAATGTACACTATGCAAGCATTGCTGGAGTTTATGTACGACGACAACTATTCGTTCGAGCCGGATACCAAGGGACAAAAAGATCTTGTTGCCGCTTGCAAATTTCACATTACCGTTGGAATCGCCGCGCGATGGTACGAGATGGACGGGGAGGACTCCCTCGACGATCTCTCCAGACGTAAACTCAAGTCCTCCTTGCCTGGAGTTGAAGCCGATGGCTTGGCTCAAATTGTACGGAGCGCTAATCAACTGGCAGTTGACTTCAAAACGCAACGCATGGTTGCTAGGGCAGTTGCAAGGGCAATGCAGAATGAGAACAATAAGCATTATTTCAAGCATCTCGACATGTCCGAGGACTTCCGTGGACTGGTCAACTTCTTTTTCCAGGATTGGCTAAAACGTAAGGAAGCCCTCTCAAAGAGGCGGCAGCAAATCCAGGCAGCAAGGGAACATTGGACAAGAGCACCACTCTACTACCAGTAGTCTCTGGAAGGATGAAATAACAACGCACAACATTTTGGTTGTCGGTTAGGCGAGAGATAGATGATACAAGGCTTTCTTTCATTCAATGATGTTCTAGTATTATTATAATTATCATTACATGACCACATGTGCATGTCATATCATCGTAAATCGCTACGCTAATGCAATAAAAATCAGTCCGGTCCATCATCGCAGATTGTATGTCTCCGATGCCATCTTATTTCTGTAAACCTGCTCTGCAACTTCCCCCGCCATGACGGGCGAGTCTACAATGTAGCATTGCCCAACGAGTTGATAGTGATCCTGCATCTTGCGCACCACGAATGGCAGCGGTGCCCCAAAGAAGACCACTACCTTGTCCTCTGCCCTGCTCCCCTTGGGACCCAAACCAAGGCGTCCATGTTTCGTGAGGAAGACTCGCCGAGCATTGGCATATTTGACCACTCCAGCAAAGAACTGGGCGGCGTCTCCGTAGAGCGGTGGAACTGGTTCGCCGTCTGATCTTGCCTGTCCCAAACGATCGAGGAAAGCCCGGGCTTGCCGTCCATCGTCAATTCGGCATTCGACGAACTGCTGGACGATGTTATCCGGGTCTGAGACTGGGAGTATACCAACGGGAGGGGTATCTGGCAGGCCACCAGCAGAGAGTGCTTCGCAGAAAGCTACATCCAGAGGCCCGCTGTCTCGATATTGTTGCCCAGATGGATCCGTCAGAGAGGAAGGAAAGAAGTGCGACCAGGTCTGCTCCATCAGCAAAATATTCGCCTCCTGAGTGCCTATTTCAAAAGACAGAACATCAGAGACGGACTCGATGTTGTCTACCCAAAATCCATCAAGGGAAAGTTGCAGCGGGTTCTTCGGTGATCCTTTGCTCGGGTTATCGTGAACTCGAGCACATGGGCTTCGGCCGGTGACAAGGCCTGCGCGAAAATAGCTATGCATCACGCTGCTTCCTCTCATTTCAAACCACTTCGGCACCCAGGTAGGATAGCCATCAGGTTCAGAATCATTATGGTCCACAAGGTTGAGGACATCCAAATCACCTGGTGGTCTGTGGATTAGAAACCTCGTGAGGTCGACATATGTCTGTACATCCGACTTGTGATAATCGGCCGCAAGAGCCGGTATATGATAGCTCCCCATCTTCCTCCCCGGCCATTTCGCGCCTACCTGTGTCAATAATTGGAGGCCTCTATACACAGTTCGACGAAGAAGTGGCCCTGTACGCGTGAGTGTGGCGATTGGATCCAGACCCTCGTCACAGATTCCTCGCAGACCAAACACTCTGTCACGTACATCATCCGAGTGGAAGCAACGCATCGTCTCCAGCAGCTCGAGAGCACTGCCCATGGAGCCAGGGACATGGGACTGAGGCAAGCCAGGTTCAGGCCGGTTTGCCCACACCTTCCACCAGACCTCGAGCGGGGAGTCCTGCTGCGGCGTAGCATTTGCTTGCGCAGCCGAGGACAACGAGGGCCCAATATCATTGAACGAGATTTCAAGGTCTCCGCTCTTGACGATGACGTCGGCAGCCGCCATGACCTCCACGACGCACCAGTAATGTGTGAAATAGGGCCGCCGAAACATCTCGTGGAGCTGGTGCAGGTTCTCGGGGGAGAGGCCGTGCAGGAAAACCTCCCTCACCTCCTCCCGGGACTCGCTATCGACGGGGACCTCACTCAGCCGGTCTTGCTCGTCCTCGACCTCGCGGATCCTCGCTAACCGGTGGGCCAGCTCAAAGGCCAGATCCATGCCCTCCGTCTTGGGGCCGAGCCAGGCGATGACGCGAGAGGCCTGTTTGTAGATGACACTCATGTCGCGGACCTGCCGCGAGTGCTCATCGACGTCATCCTTGTTTATGCAGAGGGCATCCACCCATAATGCACGCGGCTGCTCAGGATCACGCAGGGCGAGCAGCGCGGCTTCGAGGTTCGGTCGGATGGGGACCGCGTGGTTCTGGATCCATAGAAAGGCGCTGGGGTCGTTGGCGAGGCCTGGGTGGTGGGAGAGCGCTTCATAGGGGAACGGTGGTGATGTGATGTCAACGGTTTGGAGGTGCCCCTTGAGAGGATCATCGCCCGATCCGGGAGCGAGCTGGAACACGCGGGTGAAGAGGCGTGATCGCTCCGGTGAGGGGAGCGCCTGGAAGTAGGCCATGGCAGGCTTCTTTCGAGTCTGGGCAGCAGTGGGACGAGCGCGTGGACGCAGGAAATACTCAACGAGGTCGAAGGTATCCGGAATGACATGGACGTGATTAGCGGCGGTGGAGGACGCCATGATGCTATATATTATCGAGGATCATGATATGATATGATATGATATGTACGGAGTGTGTACGGACAAGTATGTACGGACAAGTATGTACACACGGAGCTGAAGCAAGCAAATCAAAACAGGGCTGTTTCAGAATGTCGTCGTAATTGTCCCCTCCTGACGGGAGATGAGCAATATGGTCCGCGGGCGGCGCAAGGCAGCTCGTCCACGGCCCCAGCTATTACGATCGCCAGCCTATGTTTAGATGTCGGCAGGCAGAATGACGTAGCGGGGAAGAGGCGGGAGTCCAGGTCCAGGAGGCGGCTGGCAGTGGTTATGCGAGGACCAGCCCATGCCAACAGCAAAACAGTGAACACGAGCCTGTGGGTGGGTTTCTGATGGATTTGGTCAGATTTCGCGGTAGTTGATTTCATTCATTTCGGTTGGTGTTGCGTGGTCGGCGTGTGGCGCAGTTTGTGCGTGGGGCGGAGTCTTTTTCCCGCTGGCTGTCCACTGGCTGCCCGCTGGCTCCAGGCTTCTTGAGCCCACCGGCAGCATGCTGCGGCCCTACGAACGCGCTATTATTAGAGCACGTCCACTGAAGGCAGCAGCCAGGCGCAGGTCACGGGACCAGCGGTGTGGGTTGCTACGGCCTCCGCGCGCAGTAATCCTTCAACCAACATAACATGCCTTTATTCTGCCCATGCTTGCACTTCTGCGATACGAGGTCTGCCTTTTAATTGAGCTAATTTCGCACCCACGAAAAAGACTTGGAAGGTGAGATGGGACCAGATGAGCCGGGATGAGGGGGAATGGGAAGCGGCTGAGGCTCACAGCAGGTGGTATTTTGTCGTGGCGCAGACCTCATTACATTACCCTATACTTGTTCCACCAATCGGTGTGATCTTGCCTCAAGTATGGTCTCACTCTCACTCAGTTTGTAATTGGGCAAAAGAGTTACGATATCTCGATGTGTTCAGTGTTTAGATTCCGGTTCATTACCCCAGCTGTTAATCTATCTTTAGTTTCCATCCGCAGCCTCCATCGTTCACGAGCTTCGCCTTCCACGCTGGATCCACAAAGGTCTGGATCCCAATTGCTGCCTTCATTTCCCCACGTTCGCCCTGCTGTAAGGCGAATAGCTCTGCTGTGTTGGCACTCTTTACGATGCCAACTTCCAATATTGCTGTGTGGATCATGACCGATACGAGAAATATGATGGTGATGGTGATTTGTGCGGCCAGGAATGCCATCCAGCCCCAGCGAATCTCCACATACTGCTGGAGATCCATGATATCTCCAGTCATGCCGCCCAACTGGTCGTTTGTCCGAATACTAGAGACATCAGTCAGCTCATACACCTCAATTGACACAGCCGAGATAGCGTCTTCCAAGGACTTACTAGGATGTCATGGCGTCCGCTATCCTCGAGGTAAAGTGCTCTAGGTTATCCCAAGTTTTTCTGTCGAACTCTGTACTGGATGTATTCGTGTTAATTTCATTATACAGAGCCATCCCAAATCTCCTATTGAATATGGATGCTCTGCCACTTTGCCAGCTGGAGGACCATCCTCCGGAGAAGGCCTGTCGAAAGTAGTCTGGAAGTCTGGCATATGACCAGACCGCCGTAATGTTGTAGGTCTGGCTGCTGTCTTTGTTCTCTAGAGTGAAGGAATTACCGTTGCTTCCCGTTGGCGAGAATCTCTCAATTTCTCCAATTCGGGTTGTCGTATTTGTGACGGTGGTTCTGGCAGTGCCGTCTATAACTGACACAGAATATTCGTTGACGCAGAAATGATAAAGAAGTTCCACGGCCCGGTACCTGTACTTTTCGTCTGGATTGTAGTTGCTGTATATGAAAAAGAACTGGGAAAATGTAGCCCGGAGCAAGTCCGAGTTGCTGGCGTTGGCGAATGAAACCCGCTCGTCGGGAAATGGAGCATAAGGGAAATCTTCAAGACTCAGCTGGGATTGGCTCATATTCGCCAATCGGGCGTTGTATTCAAGGTTGGTTCCGGGAGATGTCATGTTGACAATCTCTCGGATGGCCTCATTGTCGTATGTGGAGTGCTTGACGTAGGCGATGTTATTTGGTAAAGAAACATTGAATGTCGTCTCTAAATTTGACGTGTTTCCTTTCTTGACGGAAAGACGGCTGGTCACGTTGGCCATACTAACACACACAGCCAGCGAGCTAAAAGGCTCCCATCTGCAGCCAGACGAGGAGCAGACAGGCCCGGGCGCAGGCCAAGACTCGTTAAAGGGGAGGAAGGTTGCTTGATATGCCGAGTTGGTAATGGCATCTAGAAGATCCTGGTCTGTTTTGGTTTGATGACTTGTCAGACATTATCCAACTGTGCTTCATTCCCAAGAACACGTACCTTCAATACCAGACTCCCTCAGAGCCATGGGATATGATCGGGCTGACCCCGCGTTACAGTTCTCTTTTGTTCCTTGCACGGACTGGTAGCGATAGGCAATTGCGGATTGTGTGAGGAAAGAAGTGACCAGGCCCAATGCGTAAATCAAGGTTGCAAGCACCATCAGAAGTACAAACCTGAGAGAGTCACGCATGTTTAGCCATTGATTAGGACACCGAACAGGTGATGAAGGAACTTACCTTCCCCTTGTTTTAGGGAGCAGACGCAACGCGCCAAGCGGCCCACGACTGGCCTGATCAAACAAATATAGTTCTCTGAGAGATCGCTGTTTCGTAGCAAACCAATTCCATTTCAACTGAGAGACACCTTCGATGATTGGCACCAAAGTCATGGCTCGGCAGACAGTCGCTAGAAACGCAACCAGCGTATTGAGCGTGAGTCCCATGGGCCAGTTCGGCATATGCTTGTTGTCGTACTGCGAAAGAACGACCACAAGCACGACGAAGATCACGACAATGAGTAGACACCAAATCAGCTCCTCTATCCATGCCCATATATGCGCCAAGAAGCCAGAGGGGCTCTTCGGCTGTCTTGGTGCCTCATAGTCGCCGTATGTGGTGAACCCAGCTTCCACTTGCTTGTCAGCGTCAAAGTTTGGTAGGCGGGAATGTCGAGCGCTTATAGGCGAGACCCCGGCGTCTACGGAGCCGCTGTCGCTTTCTGCGCGTGAAGTTACCGGCGACACTGGCTGCAAGCTTTGCCTTGGCTTCGAGAGTCTCGCATTGGCCGTTGTCATTGGCGATATTGGCTCCAGATGCAAGTCCCGCGTTTGACTCGGCTGATAATATGAGTGTGGAACCAGTCCGTCCTCATCCTCCGCCGGATATGCCATTCGGCTGCTGCTTCCCGCCATTTCGGCCTCCCTTGTGGCATTCAGACCCCCAAGTTCACGATACGTCGGCCAGCGAGCGAGGAAACATTGAATCTAGAAAGGAGCGAGAACAGGAAGAAGAAAAGTGGTGAGCCTTTGTTCAAAACTGAAACACTCGGTACTCTTGGTAATCTATTCTGGGTGGTATCCGTGATAATCCCTGCCTGGGCTTGAAGGAACGCTGACCTCCATCACACTCCAGGGTCGCGTTCGAACCTTGACCAATTGGAAAGGGAAAGTCTGATTCACATCCTAATTTCCACCAGCCGTTTCCGACGATCCGCTCTGTCGTGGAATCCTACGGAGGCGACATGGGTTCGTGTTTACTCTAGCTACCGGTTTACAATGCCAGTTCTGGAAACGCAAATACCGGTTTAATCTATTTGAAATCATAGAACTTCCATTTAGTCTTGAAATCCGGCTGCAGTTCATCGCCCATGATGAGGGCCTTGACCATTTCGACAGGCAACATGGCCATCTTCAGGATGGCATCATGATACTCCTTCTGCGTCAGGTCTCCCGTGTCCACCACCAGCTCCCTGAGTTTCCACAGCTGCAGCGCTCCCAGCATGTAACCGGCCTGGTACAGCGGTGGATAGCTGCCCTCGACAGACCGTCTCACCTCACCCTCGGCGTTGCTTCGCTCGTGATTGATCCTGTCCACCAGGAGGTCAACCGCCTCCTGCGCCGTCATCTGGCCCATGTGGAACTTGAGCGAGAAGATGATGCGGAGACATCGATGCATCCTCCACCACAGCGCGCCAATCCTCCCCTCGGGCGTGGTATGGAAGTCGTCGCGCTCGTAGAACAGCATCTCCCAGTACAGAGCCCAGCCCTCGACGAAGAAGGGCGTGTCGAAGAGCTCTCTCCGGTGGGAGTTGTACCGGTCTGCCATGTACAGCTGCAGGCGGTGGCCGGGGAACATCTCGTGGAATGCCGTCGCGCGGGCGAAGTGCCTGTTGTTGCCTCGCATCACCATGAGCTTCATGTCGTGCTCCATCTCGACCACGGGGTACGAGACCCAGATGGTGGGACCGCCGAGGAAGAACGGCGAGACCTTTTGGCGCTCTGCCCCGATCATGGTCATGCGCCAGGTCGAATTGGCCAGCGGCGGGACAGTGACGAGATCTCTCTCTGCGATGAAGTTGCTGCCCTCGACGACGAGTTCGCGCACCAGCTCCGTCTGCTTGCCAGGCTCAACGTAGTCGTTCTTGACTTGCTCGAGTGCCTTCTTCCAGTCGTCACCATAGCCGAGCGCTTGTGACTGTTTGATCATTTCCTTCTCGCACCACTCGAATTCCTGGTTGCCAATCTCGATGATTTCTTCTGGGGTGTAGGGGATCATCTCGGCTTGGAGCTCAACCTCGACACCAGCCCGGCCAATTGGCTCCCCGACGATCGCATCTTTCCCACCGTCGTTACTGACTCCTGCGAGCTTTGTCTGCACAATAGCATGGTATTTGGTGAGAGCATCAAAGAGTGTTTGCCAGGGTGTTGTCGCCCAAAAGTCAAAGAGAGGATCATAGGTGGCGTAGAATTTGAACCATTCTTGGAGCAATGATAGAAGCTGTTTGATTGCTTGGGAGGCCAGATATCCAGTGGTTTCCGAGACGTCGAAACCGCCTCCCTCGACCTTTGCCTGGACCTCAATAACAGACTTCGTAATCTCGTTGAGCGTCTTCGCAGCGTCCTTTGGGATCAGTGGCTTCACATCCTGACGATCTTCCAAGAGTCCCACGAGCTGGTCGGCGAAAGGGATGATGATGATGAATTGCTCCCTTGAGGCTTTTTTGAGCTTCAGATTGTTGAGTTGCCGGTTGTGAAAGGTCCGCAACATGATGTAGTCAACCTTTCCATCCTGGTCCAAGGCGTTAAAGTCGATGCCCTCGAGCATCTTAAGCTCACTGTTGTGGTAGCCCTCTGTCGCTTCATAGCGGCGAGGTGCAATGTCAATGTTGTAGAGTGCATTTATCTCTCCAAGGTCAGACTGCACACGACGAACATGATCAGCCATAGACATGCCATCGAAGTTGCTCGTCGAGGACGGATCCTCCCAGAACCCCTTCAGCGGTTGCTGGACTGATGCCATATCGAGATCAGGATATCGAATAGAAGAGCCGGTAGTTAGAATTGGAAGGGAGATAATCACCCAACCTAGAGACAAGCCCTTCATGTTGCAATGACGTATCCCAATCGGATATTAATACTCGAGTGTGACAGGTGTTGTATGCAGGAGTATTGGCCTTTCTGCAGTTACACTGGCTTTAACCTGATGAATGACTACACTCACATGCTGACAGGGTTCCCCGCCCATGTCCCGTGCTCCGGATAGATAACAACAAACCTGATTTGTAGGGTCTTTTGCCGGCCCCTGGACCGGGAAGCCGCCCGAGGGATAATTCGAAATCGGGATTCTGGCCCCGAGCTGAGACAAGTTCAACGGCGAGGCTAGCCGGCGAGAAGAACAATCCAACCTACCTGACCCGCTGCTATCAAAGCTACGGATCAAAGCCAATGCGAACAGTCTGCCTAATGCCGCTAGGGTGCAATGAATGACGTTTTCGGATGAAGAGGAAGGTGAAATTGCCGATGACACGAGTGCCCACATATTCCTCTCGGGTGATGAAGCCCAATTCATACAATCTGGATCAGGAGACCATGATCAATTTATTACCCGTACTTGTGACCGCAACAACATTAATCCACCATCAACTCGTATGGAATTACTTGTTTTGATCCAATGCCAAGAAGTTGTTCCTCGGATGTGATGCGTTTCCCCGGGAAATGATCCCGCGGAAGGTCAAAGAAGGAACTTGTCGATGATTATTTGTTGCTTTGCCTGTGCCCATCCCTGTATAAACTTAATGGTGGCTTCCAAGTGAAAGAAAATGCACGTTGCGAATCACATATTGCAGTCTTTGGGTATTAATTTAGATGATTTAGGTCTTGACAGAGCAGCAAAGTACACTTCATTCCAATACTGATACGGCAAGAATGAGATTCTTCATGTTTAATGCTTTTAGACAACCGCAGCAGATCTTGTCACAATGCTTTTCACAATGGAGGCTTACCCGCCAAGTTTGCAAGCCTTCCAGTATGGGCTTATAGAGTTGTGCAGGATCCAGAAAAGGGCACTCTTATCGCGGGTTCTATTAATTCTCTTAATTCTCTTAACAATACCCAATACCCACCTGAGGATTTACTGGTGTAGGTCTCATTCACAGCCTAGAGGTAGATCTGCGGTGAGAGAGCTCGAGTATAAAGTAAAGAACAGCAATAAGAGATGCTAGACCTGACATGCTAACAACAATTAAGAGAGGGAGGGATATAAGTTTGGAATATAGGGGTATTCGTTGTAATTTTCCAGCTTCATCGGCCTCATGTCTGTAATGTTTCCCGGTATAAGTTACTCATTCTCACTCCGACTTCGTAATCTCAAGCGTACTTACCCTTGCAAAACCACTTTTCTGGCAATGATGGCCTGTTTGTATATGCCATTATCCTAGATATACTGAAATTACCTACCACTTGAGCTTAGGCCAATAAGTAGAGTTAGACGCGTATAGCAAACAAGATCGTGAACTTAAGGGCGTAAATTATAAAGCTCCCCAATGTCCGATATGCAATTCTAAACTTGTATGTGATGGAAAAGAAGTATCATAGCAAGTGTTCGCCACGATGACCACCCACAAACAATAGACTCCGATTTCAGGTCCGTATATTGCGAGATTTTCGGGGTTTGGGGGCTTGAATGTCAAGTATAGAGCATGAAGGAAAACACGAGGGTTCCACCAACAAGATATGACAATAGATGGATTTGGGCATTGGAGTCCAACTAAATGTGCAGGTTGACTGATGATTTCCTTGATATTATCAATTTTAGTTGTGGGAATGTTTCGTTGTTAATTTCAAACGAAAGGGTCAAATGTATTGACAAACGGTAGACCTTCGCTTAATTTGACAACGTAACAGACTCATCGTGATGGTCTGATTGAATGGTATGCCGAATTCCTCATTGCCGAATTCCTCATTTTAAGCACATTCCATTCTACCCTAGGTATGGTGTCAAGTTATCAAATTACTGGTATTTGGGAATTTCCCCCTTTTTTTTCAGCAGCCGTACAGCTCCCTCACTTATTCTTACTGTTACTACTATTCCATTCTACTTAGCAGACTGAGATGCAATTAGAATCAAGTGTGAATTATGCACGGCGGGGCTTGCCATTTCACAAGGCCATGGAGGGAGTCCTGTTTTATTCTTTTGGTACAAGGTGGTTGGTTGTATAAACATTTTGTAATAAGTATAGCTGGTGTCAGTATTATTGAATAGAAAGGGGTTGTAGCGGCATGGTAGTAATATCATTGAAGAGAGCGAGATAAGTCCCAACACGACACATTGAGAGAATTAAATTTCTCACAGCTGCAGTGATGATACGGTACAGCGCTCATTGGGTGCGTGTGATGGACATATTGAGCGGCATAAGCTTACATTTAGCTCACGTCTAATATATGTGCCCGATTTGGATTTATTGCATTATTCGCTTCGTAACTTAGAACTAGCCTGCTGATTGGATCCTACGCCACTCGCTAATATGTATGACCCTTCAGGCGGATGTTGGCTTGCAATCGCGTGACATGGTTTTGGTCAGCATGTGGAGGACATGTTCCCTTACAATCCTGACAACCAAGCATGCGGGTAGATTTCCCGCCAATCCGTGGTGGAAACCATATTACCATCCATGATCTATACAATATCAGGTTTTCCCTGAATATTGCCTGGAAAATATTTCTTTACTGGGCTAGGAAATGTTCTGGCTGAAACGATAGACCGGTCTGGAATCGTATCACTCGTATCTGCAGCTGGTATTGGCTTGTGATCCGTCTCCTTGTCCTCCCTGCTAGCTTAAGCTTAAGCGAACTGCGAATGGCCTCACTTCCCGGGGATTTGTGTAGGGCTGATAATAATTGTAGCTTAGGGCTGGTAAGGCTAAGCATATATATAAACGAACGCATGAATGTGTGTTGTGAGTTAGGCTGAATCTGAGAAAGATGTCCCTTCCTGACGGTATGAGGCGAATCCGCCTTACCATCGCCCTGTAATCCTGGCGTTACTGTAGCATTGGAACTGGGTAAGTGGCATCTGATTCGTGGCCCGGGCAGTCATCCTCGACCATGGAACCCTGCCACGTTCTATGTAACCTTATGGGGAGATCCTTCGTCAATAGCGTCAGGCCAGACCCTTACCCATACTCTCCCGCATCGTTCAGTCCGCCAGGGTTCGGTTAAGGGAACTCTCAAAATCCACCTGGGCCTTGTTTACTATGTGTGCTTGCGTTTATATCAGGCTAGGTGCTTACAACTGTGAGCATCGGCATCTGAATGATCATAAATCCGGCCTGATTAAACATTATGGCCCGCTCCTCACGAGATACGTTTTCTGGCGAGTTCGAGAACATCGTGTTCCTGTTCGATTCGAGTCAAAAAATATCACTTGATTTGAAATTTCCAGTCGACACCAGCTATCCCCCTTCGACTACCGTTGAGCAAAGCCCGCCTTACGTACCACTGGAAGCAAGCGTGAGGGCCCGATGTAGACAGATATGGGTACCATTAGCAGCTTGGGTCACCAGTTTTATTGCCACCATCTTGTACTCGCTCTTCATCTACCGTGTTCTTATCGTCAGCAATCCAAAAATTGGGTCATGGATCGTCGACGCCTCCGAAGCAAACTTGTTGCTCTCTATATTCTCCCAGTTGTACGCTATGTTGCTCTTGTTCATGTTGCAAGGTCTGCTTGATGCAATGAGGTGGACACTCGCGTCGAGAGCTGACGAGGGCGGGACTTCTGCTTCAAACTTCTTTCAGCTAAGCCCAGGAACAAATTGGTATTCCGTGTGCAGATTAATTTATAACAGCGGCTTCAGAAACTCGTGGGGACTTTTAAGGTACGTCGGGGAATGATATAGAAGAGTTAGATATTGATTGTCAGCAGACTTGCTCTACCGTTTGTTGGCCTAGCGTTTGGGTCATTGTTAAAATGTAAGTCTTGTCTCTAGTTTTTATGCGTGAATGCGTGAATCAAAGACTAAGTTTTCTCTAGTCCAAAATACCTTCGAGTGCCACTTCGTATCCGGAGAACCGACTATCGACGTCTTCGCGGGAACTCTAATCCCTGACATCACAACCCTCAGTTCGATCCCGACATCATGCATGGCTGCATTCTTCGATACTTGGGCACAGCAACTGAATAATTTCCCGCGTTATGCAAAAACGTGGTCGCTAGATAGCTGCACAGGAGAATGCAGTTCTATGTTTCTCCCTGGTGGAATGGAAATTGCTCGGCGTGTTGGCCCATTTCTGAACCTAACAGTCCTCAAAAGGCGGCACGTTTGAGAATGTGGAAGCCATCAGCATCGAAAGTGCACCTGGATTAGCCCTCCAGTTTGATCCACTGGACGAGGATTTCAAATTCGACATCGAAACAGAGTGCAAGGCCTATATAAGTATGGGTGATGGAATGCAAATGTGCCTACGACAGATGAACGACTCGATCGCCGCTGGTAAGTTTTCAGTCACTTAAGAAGGTTTACTGGCCTCTCTAATACATAGATCAAAGGCTGGAGAGCATGTCCCACGCTCCATACGGTAATGAAGACATGCAAAACAATAGAATACTGGGGAACAGACCCCTTAGAAACGAAGACTTTAATGACAGTCTACCGGCAAAATGCAACAACAATCTACAGTCGGGATAGCTTAGCGATCCAACAGATCACGAAGACTTCAGAGCCCAAAATTGCATTGGTCAGTGCCTCGGACACACGGGCAATCTGGGATCACATCTTCACCCCACGAAACAAATCAGGCGACCTAGATTATCAGTCTATTAACGTTACGCTTCACCGGCTGGCGTGGAAGTACCGAACGTACTTCGAGTGGTTCCCTGATGACGATGCGCCAGTTGAGCAGCTTCAAAATTTTCTTGCTGTCCCGATGCAGTTCGGCGTCACAGCAATGCAGTACACCAATTATACAATGGTAACGCCAGAGGACAAGCGCGACTTTACCCGCGAAATGGTCACTACTGCTACTGGTGGCAGGTCAATTCAGAAGTTTGTTGGTCAAACTTGGACATCATGGACTTTTATTACTGCCGGTATATTTGTAGTCCTTTCGTCAGGCTCCGCATTCTGGTGGATTATCACGAGAGGCAATGTAGTGCCTAATCCCTCGGGTGTCATCGAGATTGACTTTGCCTCCAAGTTGGTTGGCACAGTAAGACAATCAAAGAAGGAATCAAACCCTGATAGCGATATTGAACGGTACAGAGACATGGTCCGCGACTCTAGTCAGAGAATGGACACAGACTCTGCTTCGCTGTTCAAAGCGTTCAAGAGATGGAGGGTTGAAATTGAAGGTACTGAGAAGATGGAGCAGAAGGAGCTACAAGACGGATATCCGTCCTTGCTGAAATTTTCCGCGGCACGGAATCAGCTAAATGGCGATAAATCATAAGTCATTGCTGGTGGATTATTTACGAACATACATGACATCAAGATTATTTTTCTATTTACAATTATTTACGGAAGTCAATATATTCACGACCAGCGGCCTTGGGGGGCAGTAATCGAGCTTAGGTATGGATAAATTGCCATCATTCTGGGGCAGGTGTCATTTCATTCATGTTACTATCGTCTTAAGTACAGCCCCTTGTTGTTCCACCTGAATTCTTCTAGTTTGCCAACTTAGCTTCTCAGCCCAGGCAGTTGATCGCGATCTCTCCATTGATGTTCTTTCCAGAGTGAACAGGAACCCAAATGTCCGCCCAGGTCTCACTTGGGAAGAATTGAGTCTGGTAGTAGTCATAGAAGGGGTAGAACAGGACCTGGCCGGTCTTGTCGCACTTGACGTCAAACGTTAAGCCTTCAGTGACGGTGAAAGTATCTTCACGGCTGACTGTGATTCCCATACTGGCCGTGAAAATATTCCATGCACCACCCAGCTCAATAGAGGTGGACACGGACCATTTGGTGCTTTCTGACACCTCGTACTTGTAGCCAACACCAGTGCCCAGGCGGGGGCCATGCTCAACAGCATCAGTGTTGCGGACTCCAATAGCAGAGAATGGGGTATTGAACTCTTTATCGTCTTTGACACCATCTCGCTTCTGATTCCGTACTCGTTCGACCATCTTGGCTGGGATAGAACGCGCCTTCTGACGAGCTTCGGCTGGCTCATTCTTTGGGGCATGCTCGGCCTTCCACTTGTAGTAGGCCTCTAAGGATGTCTTCCCGGATACAACTCCACTTGAGCTAGTGCTAACATCAGTGAGGGCTGGGGTCGACTGGTCCTCGTCATTGAAAACGTCGGTAATGGTGAAGGTCTCGGTATAGGTGCCACCGGCCCGCCAAGACACGCACTTGTCGTGGACCTTTTGGTAGTCTGAAGCGATTGCGCTTCCGGTACGCTTCATGACAGTTCCAGCAGCATCGTTTGTCATTGTATAGCAGTGGGTAATGCGGCAGTTGCCATCATTCTTGTACCACCACTTGCATGAGGGTTGGGGGATGTTGTCCTCTCCATTTTCATGGAAGACTTCTTCGTTGTCTTTCATGGCAAAGTCAGACAGAACAGTCTCGCCTACATTCATCCGTTAGTTAGTAGACAGTATAAGAACTTGTGCCGAGTGGTCAACAGTATCAAGCAAAGATGCTCGGGGTTGAAGGAGTAACGTACAATCATCATACGCGGGCAGCCGGTACCCGTTACACTGCATCTGGGCTGCTACCAGATTAACCCCGAAAGCAGCAGCCAGGAGAATGTTAATGAGTGCCATTTTGTATCGGCTCAAGGCGAGTCAAAATGTAGTTAAGTGAATGTAGTAAAGCGAGAGAAGGGGGTGAGTCAAGACAAGATGCTGTAGAGACGCAATAACAAAATCGTGTCCCGGCTGGCCGTCATGTATTTATAGTCAAGTCCAATGTCAACCGGCAATACAGGACAAGGGTCAAAAACATATTCCACAAATCTGGTTTTGCAGACAGAGTTCACTTGGACGACATATTTGCCAAGATCTATCCTGGTTTCGCTGTGTGAGATCGTCAGGAGAATAGACGTTTCCACAACATACATGGCCACTTGTTTCAAATGCGCCCACTCTAAACAGCCGATCAGGGCTGAGGGCTAAGCTTAATGCATGTAATACTTCATGGAAGGTTACAATATGTCGGCCTTGGCATCATGCTCGTCGTCGCACGTTCGACTTAAGACGAATAAAATGGAGAAGATAAGAATCAGGAGCTTAGAGACGAGGTGAAGCCGTCTTTGTTACAAACGACATGAACAAGTGCGATTTGGAGGATCAGCTCCCTGACATCACAGCTCCAGAAGCACAATGTAAGCCGTCCCCGCAAAATGCTGACACCGCCACAAGCATGGAGCAATTACCAATATCGCGAGAGTTATCCAGTTGGAATTGGATACAAGGCAGCAATGAATGGTCTTCAAGAAGTTAAGCTTCCTACGATGGTTTTACACTTAAATTTAGTGTTCTTTTTGGCTCACCATCAACAACCTAGGGTTATGCATTTAATGCATCACCAACTAAGGGCAGTCTAACATGGAGGCTGACACAGTGCTGCTTCAAAGCTTGTACTGTGTCTTGAATTGCTTCATTCGGCAGTTGAAAAGCTCACACCAATGTCAGGGTGATCGGCTAGGCGCCGTGGGGTAAGACTGGTTGTTTCGGGACCTAGAAACTGGCCAACGCCTTCCAGATCAAGCACAATTGGTGAAACATCTCCATTCAAAGACTGTTTTAGAGTATGTGGCACAGCAGATCATCAAAGTCTAATGCCGTCGACTTCAATGTTAATGATCATTGCTCATCTTGAACATGCTTTTGACTGCTGCCTACTTTCGATTCACCCCAGGGCTTGTATCAGCATTCTTAGAAGCAGCGGGGTTGCATGTGAAGAATAATCTAACAACATCCCAAACACAGGTGAAAAATATGGCGTGGAGAGTTTCATTGTGAAGAGAGTTGCTTTGGGAGTGCTCAGATCGACCTGCTCCCGTTCTCTCTCAAAATGGTTCAAACTATCTCACAATAGTAACAGGCTTTCTTCATCCGTAGTTACGGGTTTCAAGATACATACTCCGTTGTTCAAAAGAATCAAGAAACTCTTCGGGAATCACGAGGAATAAAATGTTCTCCGTAATAGAGGCGGAATTAGTCTCAAACAAACCGTTCAAGGTTGGCCTTCACCCAGACTTCTTCTTAGCACTTTAATCAACTGCCCAATTCACATATGCGGCCAACTCTAAGTTTTACACGTCGTGAATTCTTTCTTGTATGTATGAAGAGAACCAAAACCTGGAAGGGGTTGAAGAGTTCTCTTACCAAAATCTCATTAATATGAAGTTACTTCGCCATGCATTAACCATGTCTACGGCCCGGGCTCATCGCTAAGATATGGCCTAATTGCACCAACTAAGCCAGCTAAGAGAAAAGTCACAGCATGCTAGGTAAACAAAATTCCGTCAGGTTTATGTCATGTACGTTTGGCCTTCGAGTCGATTACACTAATCAGTTAATTGGTTTTTTGTTCATGATAGAACACGCTCACAGACGCCGTGCACTCAGACTAATGCGCCAACTTTTTCTCCATACTACGATTCGATAAACATGTGCTCATTTTATTACATTTTCATAGCCGATATTTCTCGTGAGCCATATTTGGTGGTCCTCTTTTAGATTCCTTGAGGCGCCATCTTTACATATAATACTCAAGTAGACAGGTTTGTTGAGTTCTCTTATGGAGTTGAAACCCTTCCTTCCATCTCCTTACGACTACGATAGACGAAGACACTGAGAAAGTAGAGAAACCAAAGTAATGCACGGCACACCTCATATAACTAAAATGGAAGTCAAGTTTCATATCCTGGGCGAAAGATGGTCCTCGTTTTGTCTTAGCGATGCAAGTTGTATCCATGCAGTCCTTTCAACCCGTGCAATTAAGAGAGAACTCGACATGGGGAATTTGTTCGACTTAACGGCATACTCTGCGCTTATCGGCAATCTCATAGTCTGAAGTCTGAAGTCATTCAAGGTCATTGATATAACACTTTCCTAGAAACAATAGCGAAAGGGTCGAAACATGCCTGCAGTAGCTAACGATCAGATTAAGCTTCTTCTTGAGCATATCAAGGGGTTTTACAGTCCATAGATCCCCGGTAGAGATAAGGTCTCTGATTTAAGAGTTCTTGATCCAAGAAGAAGAGAGAAGAAAAAGAAAAAGAAGAAAGATAAAAAGCAGCGATTAGTATTTCGGGTAAGTAAACTTCGGTCACGGCATCATGACTCTTCCCCAATGATCTCGCAATGCAGACTCAATGAGAGCTGTCCAACAAGAAAGAGGGCCTAAAATACGTGGAAACATCCAGCTCTAAGCATCATCAAATTTAAACATGCCCCTTTAATCCGCGCTAGTACCTACTTTTCTTCTTTCCAATAACATTGTTCAAATGATAAACATCGTATAATGAATATCTATTATACGAAATCATTCGACAACTCCAAATCGTCTTATTCAGAAAAGCATCAGCCCAAAGCTCGATGGCAGGCAGTATCCAAAATGGGTGAATCGGCGCGTGGGTCGCCGATGTCCCAATGAAGCAGGTGATGAGAGTACAACTGAGAAAAGGGAACCAAGTCCGGTGAGCGATCGACACGTGAAGACTTCTTGGCGAGTGATTCGGCGCTGCGTCTAGAAGCTGGTTCCAGAAAGCTAGACGGGGCCGGTAGTTCTTCTATCGTGCATTTGAGTGCTCATTGCATGCAGGAATGGAGCTTCTTTGTCATTTATTAGGCAAGGTCCTCTTCTCTAGCCCCATTGATAGCCTTGGACAACCCCCAATACGGAACCCCTGTAGTACAACGGACATCGGCTGTTGATTAGGTGGTATGTCACTCCATTGGAGACTCCAGCCGCCAGCGTGGAGAGCTTCCAATCAAGTATACGAAGAGCAATCAAAAGCAAGGCAAAAGGCGCCAATTGCTACCTTATCTTCAATTAGGCAATAAGGCCGTGATCTAGTCCACAAAGATTGCAAGTCGAGCGTAGCATCTCCTCCCTCTTTTTCTATTCCCACCCAATTGAAAAGGGTTTCCAAGACGCGTGGACGCAGTTCTTTCTGCTCAGAGGCCCGGGTATGTCCATTCTGTCGTCGTATGCGAATATTTGATGCTACCTCGACGGCAAGTCGTCCACGACTACTTGAACTCGACGTTTCCTCGGTCAATTTGGCTCAATTCCTGAAATTCCACCAAAAGAAAGCCAGAAATATTAACACCACCAATTCCGCAGAAATATGCTTGGTCAGTCTTTCTTCGCTTTCGCGGCGTGCGTATCCGGTGCTGCTGCAGCATCCGGTTCGTTTAGCTTCCTCACAATCAATGTTGCCGGCCTGCCAGCCTGGATGAACGACAACGGTGTACCGGGCGACAAGACGACCAATGCCAAGTCAATCGGTACCCGTTTTTCCGAGCTGAACTATGATATTATTCACATGCAGGAGGATTTCCAATATCATGCTGCCATCTACTCGACTGACACTCACCCATACCGTACTCCTACCACTGGAACAGTTGTGTTTGGCTCTGGGCTCAACTCAGTTGCAAACTATGATTGGACTGGATTGACTAGAACCACTTGGAACAAGTGCAATCTGAATAGCGGCGATTGCTTGACCCCCAAGGGATTCACATACATGCGAATGACAATACAGGGTGTTGAGGTTGATCTTTACAATCTCCATGCGGATGCTGGGTACGTTCTCATTCCCACGTTATGACTCAAAAGGCTGACAACAAATCTTCGAATAAATAGATCCGATTCTGGCGACGTCGACGCTCGCTCTGCAGGAATCGATCAGATCCTTGCCTACGTGAACGCCAACTCTCAAGGCCGCGCCGTCATCATTGGTGGTGATACCAACGATCGCTGGACCAACGCTGGAAGAAGCATCAACAAGCTCACCGACGCAGGATTCACTGATTCATGGGTCAGCCTTATCAAGAAGGGTACTTATCCCACAGCCGGTGCTACAGCAGATCCTTGCGGCAACCCAGCTGATGACAATGACTGTGAGATTGTTGACAAAGTTTTGTGAGTAACGACTGTTTCATTGGACTCCGAGAGAGCAATTGCTAACTTGCGTATCCAGCTACCGTTCTGGCAGCTCGGTTAAGTTGAGCGCGACCTCATTCAGCTATGTTGGGAAGAGTTTCTTGCAGTCGGACGGTAACATCTTGACAGACCATAATCCTGTTCTTGTTCAATTTTCATTCACATCCTAAATGGGTTTTAAATTTGAGTAGGTGAAAGTGTACCACCGTGTCGCTCAAGCAAACTTCCAACTTTTTGAGACCTTGATAGCAACTTCTTGTCATCCTGATATTTAGATTACCCTGTAGTCCATAGTAGCTCAGTTTGATGAGTCGGAAAAGGTGTCCTTTGTTTACCTCCTCGAAAGTAATAACACGCTGTTAAGCTAGAATAAGCCTTCGTGATACTTATGCATGCTTTGAAAGGTTTTACTTAATGATTGTAACATTTGCTGCAGAGGGTACTTTTGTAACCTTGTTTGTCTGGTTTTTTGGTCCTTGTTTCCAAAATGTAACTAGGTAGTATTGTTTGTTTGTCTGCATAGTAGTTCTACGCTCCAGCTATTGAACCGCAATATACAGATCTAACTGCAATAAATCTCACAACGAATCCATCGACTCTAATAAGATCTACGCAAATACAATGTCTTGTGTTGTTGATATTGCCTCAGGGAAATTCTCGTCGAGAGTGCTGTGATAATCACGCGAGGGGTAAGCACTACTGCAACTAGTCACTTAGACGATCCCACAATGAAACGCGGATGCTCCAACCACACCCAGCATCTTACGGCTTACCCAGTCCGTGCGTGCCTTGACGGGTCTAAGGATGAAAATGCCCGTCTGGGGCCGCTCTCATCTCGAATCAAATGCCGTAGATATGGCCAACCATTGCCGAACCCAGAGCACGCTAGGCAGGGTCGCAGCTTTATGAGTTTCGCGCTGCTTAAAACCGGCTTTGCCCCTGATTGTGCCCTCTTTGTTGTGTCTCTTTCGGTACTCCGCATCTTAACCTCCTGCCAACAATGGGTTTCTCTTGACTGAACCTACCGCCCTTGGTCTGAGCGAGGGCTGCGAATAGGGAACATGAAGCTGATGCGCGGCTTGGCCGCTCTGGCGCTTTCTGTAGGTTTTTGTATGTTTTCGCGTGGTCGCCAGGACCAATTACGCAACCTGGTTCAGCTTCTAATGACTCCTCACAGGCCCGATAGGTTCATCTGCAGGACTATCCTACGCGACGGGGAACAACCAAGACATCAAATTCCGATGGGAAGTGAGCACAGAATCCAACAATGTCTACTTCAAGCTCGACGCGCCCGTCGCCTACAGATGGGTCGCCCTCGGCATCGGTAACAGCATGCAGACGGCGGAGATATTCCTCATGTACCAAGACGGCGAAGGAAACGTAACCCTCAGCACGCGAAAAGGACGAAACCACATCATGCCCGTATACGAGGAGAGATCCGGCGTTGAATTGATATCGGGGTCGGGCGTCTTGAATGACAGAATGACGGCCAAGGTGCGATGCAGCGATTGCAACAAACTCGACCTGGAAGGCGAAAACAACTGGGTGGCTGCATGGTTATCAGGCGAGACAATACAGTCGACGAGCGTTCAAGAGCCAATCGATCATCATGAGGGGAGGGACCTATTCAGCATCGACCTGGCGATGGCGGCTACAGGCTCTGAAGTCAATCCGCTGGCGGATACCGACGACGACATCCTTTCGAGCGGTGCCGTGGTAACAGACGCAACGGCTGCTAAATATGATTCCATCCGCCTGGCACATGGTATTATTATGACTGTGGTCTTTGTGGCAATGTATCCGATTGGGGCCTTGTTGATGCCGGTTTTCGGCAACTGGTTCCTCCATTCCGCCTCGCAACTACTGGCGTTCATCCTCATGTGGGCTGGCGTTGGTCTTGGAGCGACCTTTGCTAGGCAATATTATCTCGTGAGTATCCATATGAGGCAGCAAGTCCCTGGTTGATTTTATCTAACTCGAATATCTCGCACAAAGTACGGTAGGCAAGCGCATACAATAATAGGGAGCCTGGTCGTGATCTTACTCTGCCTCCAACCGGTACTTGGCATCCTCCATTCACGGCATTACGCAAAACACGAGGGACGTGGTCACTTTGGAGTTGTCCACGTTTGGTACGGGCGTTCCCTGATGCTCCTCGGTGTTCTCAATGGGGGGCTTGGTCTGCAGCTCGCGGGCCACCGGGGGAGTGCCTGGGTCATTGCTTACAGCGTTATTGCTGGGCTCGCTTTTGCCTCCTACTTGGCCTCTATTGTCTACAGCATTAGGAAGTACAGTCGCCGGAAGCAGGAACCTTCCGAAGCTGACCTTAATCGCAATTGGCCGCCCTCTAATATTAGTTTGGATTCATATCTTACCCAAGAAGGCCCGCATAGATAGATTAATGATATTGCAAATTCATCATGACAGGAACGAAGTTAGATATTAAACTGAACTCTGCCATGGAACGGCTTCTAATTTGCATACTTAACCCGACCCAATTTTGCGGTATTCGCTCTGGTAGAGGAGACTCGCCCATCGCTAACCGGCGTCTTTGACCCAAAGCGCCTTGTGGGGGTTTGAACCCAAAAAAAATCGTATTAAATGATATATTCAAGGATCAAACGGGAGATAAACTACTAGGAAAATCTGTTTCGCACAATCTGTTGGTGGTCCTGCATTCTAAAGACGGTTTCTACTATATGAGTCGCTTCTTTGGCACTCTCATCAACCAGTAAAGGAAAAGCGCGGCAAACACATTGAAGACGATGTAGGCCCATATGATCCCATAGTTCCTCCACCTCTCGTCATACGATGCATCAATGGTCTGTAAGAACGCATCTGTCGTGGCCAGCGGGCAGAAAAGGCACGTGTCTGTCGAGTCCGGGTTGGTGATATTGCCACCTGCCAGTTCCATGTAAGGCTCTAGGTACTGGCCGCATGTTGCTCCCTGTGAAGGCTTAAATTGAAGGAGCTCTATGTCGGAGCAGGTTACTGGGTTTTGGGACAGGCCTGTTGAGAGAAGGGCTGAGACCAGATAGGTCAACGGTGAGACGCGGTACATGAAGATCCAGAAGCCAGGAAGGGCAGTTCTTGACACAATGACACTAAGAAACGAGGTTAGTAAATCCCGTGTTAGATGGCAGTACCGTGAGGAGGACTCACCCGCAGAAGATTAAACAGAAAGCAAACAAGATGAGGGAAACCGTGGCTCCCACCTCGGCCATCTCGACACCTGCAATCACCATGTTTGCAAAGGTAGACTCGAACAGCATGAAAGCCCACAGAAGAAGGAACATGAGCGCACTTCGCTCATTCACAGAGTCAGAGAGCTTCGCATTATTGTTCATCCCTGTGAGGTAGTAGAATAAGACGTAAAGAAGAACACCAACTAAGGAGTTCCAGGGAATCTCGACTGCAATATTCGAGAGCATGAAGACGATCCATGAATACATCTTTGATGACCTTTCTCTAGCTTCATAGATCTCTCTTTGCTTTATGAAGTTGGGCATCGTCTGGTAAGAGAGGAATGCAAACACGACGAGCAGCATGAAGACCGCAAACATTTGGTCTTGAAGACCGGTCATGGAGAGGTCCGCGTCGTAGAAAGACACACCAATGAATAAAGCCTTTTAAAACATTAGCGTGATGCAACAAATACTCACGAATATTTTGCACTTACAGTTCCTCCAGAGAGGATCAATTTCGCATAGATGTATGACGGCGTTCGCCAGTACTGTTGCCATACTCGGTAAAAGCATGCCACGAACTGTTGTTGAAGAGACATTGCGTATGTAGCAACATTGTCTTCGCTAGATACCTGTGCACCGCTTCGTGACGTCGAAGAAAGCTCCTCCAGCCGTGTTTGGACCCGGCTGTATTCGGGGCTGTTGAGCCAGGCTTCATGCCAGTCTCGCGTAGCTTTGGATCCCGGGGCGGCTCCAATTACTTTCAGCATCCATTCGGCAGGGTTCTCCTCTGGCTGGCATTTCTCCCCTCCCTGTCTCTCGAAGTAGTCGATCAGTTGTCGCGAGTCTTTTCCGAGGTCGCCAAAATACACCGTCTTCCCACCCTTCGCGAGAAGGAGTATGCGATCAAATTGCTGGAAGAGCATGGCTGAGGGCTGGTGGATAGTACATAGAATGGCCTGCCCATTATCAGACAGCTTTCGGATCAGGGTGGCAATACTCCAGGCAGTTTGGCTATCAAGTCCCGATGTTGGTTCGTCAAGGAAAAGAAGCAAGTCCGGCTTCGCAGCCAGCTCTACCCCGATCGTGAGGCGTTTCCGCTGCTCGACATTAAGGCCTGTTGTTTGAATATTAGAAAAGTTTGTTCGGTCTTCCAAAGGAAAGATGCATTACCTTCTCCGGGAACACCAACAACGGCGTCTGCATATTCTTGCATCTCCAACAATTCAATCATTGATTCAACATACTCAAACTTTTCTTTCTTGCTAATGGTGCTAGTTTGACGTAGTAGAGCGCTGAATCGAAGAGCCTCTCTCACCGTAGATGTAGAAAGATGGATATCTTGCTGCTGCACGTAACCAATTTTTCTCTGGAAACTGTTCCCGCGGGGAATTCCATCAACTGAAACGTCCCCACTGACAACGCCCATGGTAACTCGGTTGGCTAGCACGTCGAGAAGAGTGGTTTTCCCAGCACCTGTGGCTCCCTAGAAGTATGTTAGTAACAGTTGGGAGGGGTTGCATTAGATATGTCGGAGGCTCGCAACAAACCATAAGAGCTGTCAAGGTTCCCGGCTGCACCCATCCGCTGACACCATCTAGAATACGCCTCGGCTGCCCTTTGATGGTAATGTCATAGCAAAGATTGCGCCAGTGGAATACACCTCCGCTGGACCTAGGTGCTTCCTTTTTCTCATCTTTCACAACGGTCGTACGATCGGAGTGGTCAATCTTCTCGCCAGCAGCTACAGACTCTTCATCTGCGACCTCAGGGCCAGCCGCACGATTGGCATCATGGCCGCGCTGGAAAACCAGCACTTCTCCCTTGGATCTTCCCGTGGTGATAAACTCAGCGGAAAGGATATAAGTAGCGAGAAAGAATAGCAGATAGGCGACAAGAATTCCAAAATTTCTACAGTATTGTCAGTGCACTGGCCATATCTCAGGCTAATTCCATGAGTAAACTCACCTCCAGATGTGAGATTTCTTGTAGCCATAATTTGCTCCAATGTAGAAATCTCCATCCACGAAATCAGCACCAGGCTGAGCACCCGCCACCGAGCAAGTCCTCTCAAACGGTCCAGCATTAGGATAGGCGGGCACAAAGGCCGGGCAGGGAAACTGACGACCGGTAAATTCGTTCGCAACCGTTGCTTCGAACGCATACGCAATGGGGTTGATATAGTTGAGCCATCGGAGCCATCCTTGCATGAGACGAGTGGGCAGGACGTACCCGGCGTAGATGACAAGCCCAAGGATGAAGAAAGCGGCAGGAGTCAGTGCTTGGTGAATCGTGCGAGAGACCTGGCCAATGGTTCGTAGAATCATCGACATGGTCATAGTGCAGGTAAAGCCTATCAGCAAGAAAGTGAAGAAATGGCCTGCGTCTTGCCGAAGATTGGCCATGAAGTACAGCGGTATGTTAAAGCACAAGGTAGACATCACTTTAATAGGGAGATCGCAAATCATGGATGAAACTGCTTCAGCGAAGGGGTGGTAAAAGGCGTAGCGGGAATGCTTTTCAACGATTGGCCGCTGAACATAGAGAGCCAGGATCTGTTTTCTCTGGCATTAGCATTCGTTACCAAAAGAGGTATATGATCTCCGTACCTCAAGAGCGCTGCTTAGTCCATTGAATAGAATTGAGAAAAACAGGAGAACCGCGCGACTGTTTGCGCTGTCGGCAGTATCAGGGAGATCGTAGAAGATACTACCAAGCAATAAAGAAATCGCTGCGTTGCCTGCGATGGTCACAAGTGGAAAAAGCATTTCGCCCACGAGTCTTTGGTATCCTCTCATCATACACAGCTGGATTTGCATGATTATACTGATGGTATATGGAGATCCTCGACGCCTGTCATCGAGTCAGTTATACCACCCTTCAGAGTGGTTCAGAGTCCCATTACTCACATCCAAGATGCTTGTTGAACTTTGCGCGTCTGAAGAAACTTTTCCGTCTCTTTCCCATCTAATGGATACTCCTCCTCAAAAGTGGTGATATCTTGGAGCAGACTCTTTCGAAGCGCGCTTTCTTGCCACAACTTTTCAAACTCATCAGGGCTGTTGGGAACTCTGTTCTCGAACCCTACTCTGGCTGTTCTTTCAGCTGGGTTTGTGAGTGACGTGAGGAAATCCGCAGTGGTCTGGCGATCAGGGCAGTTGAAGCCCATGTCCGTGAAGTACTTTCTTGCTGCGTCTCGAGGGCCAAAATAGATTAGTCGTCCCTTGTACAACAGAGCGACTTTGTCGAAAATCTTTCAATTTGCAATTAGTCTCCTCAGCTTGTGAATTCGTGGGCGGGATCAATTGACTTACATCGTATGCTGGCTGTGAAGCCTGATACATTGCCACGATAGCACACATACCCACAAGATCTGTCGCCGACCTAAGAGTACGGGCAAATTCCAGAGCGGTGGCACTGTCAAGGCCGCGTGTGCTGTTATCCCAGCACTGGATTGGGCTTTGGCTCAGTGTGACTTCAGCGATACTCACACGCTTGCGCTCGCCGCCACTTACACCTCGGACGAAGGCATCTCCTACTTTGGTGTTGACGGTGTGGGAGATACCGAAGACAGCCATGGCAATGTCTCTCAGGTGAGTAGCATAGAGTTTCCGACTGACACCTGGCAAGCGATTGCGAGGTGTTCGTGCCAGAGCAGCAAATTGGAGTGTTTGGCCTACGGTCAGATGGGGGAAGTGAATGTCTTCCTCAGCCTGATAGATGACTTCACCACGGAAGCACTTGCGCATTTTATCCATTGGGATACCTACCGCGAAGACAGAGTCAGAAATTGACAAAATAAACATAAAATATACGAGAAGAGTAAAGGAAGAGCAAACCTTGATAACTGAAATGCGACTCGGGATCAAGATGAAGGCCGTTTGTTTCACCAGCAATTGTTTTGAGCAGTGTTGTAACACCACTACCAAGAGTCTCAGTACAACAACTTTCAAGAGAGAATAGAGTAACTGACCTTCCTGGACGTCCAAGAACAAGGATCATCTCTCCGCTTCGGAACAGGCCATCGAAATTGCGCAAGATATCGATCTTACGGCGACGATGACTGATCCATTGCTTGATCATGAGGGGACCTTGCATCAGAATATTGAGAACGTTCTTCTGATAGTCTGTATCTGTACCATAGCCATGAACTCCTAGGTTCCTGCAAGAAACTCCCACCCTTGCACGAGGATACTTCTCGGGGTGCAGGTCCGAGTGCTGCAAGAAGGCCTTTGCCCATTCGATTGCATCAAAACTGGGCGAATTGGGGTCCATGGCGGGATTCGACGCGAGAAAGGGATTCACGATGCCGCCGCCCTGAGCATGGCTGGCGCTCCTCACCAGGCTCATACTAAAGGACCGTATCAGCTCGGCGACATTTTGATCCGGGTGGTCATCTCGCTGCTCGTTTGCTGCCGTCATTTCAGACTGCGGCGTTGATGAATGCTCGCCGTCATCAGTAACAGGTGCCCGGCGGCTCTCCATCTTCTCGTCTATGGAATCCATGACTGCCAAGGGGCAGCAGGTCCTCAGGGGCAGAGGAAACGAAGTAGAGAGGTATAGCGTAAGAGAAAAAAAAACGAGTGTATAAGGGATTAAGATGAGTAAGAGTAAGGGCAAAGGGCCATGGAAGAAGTGAACGGATGGGTTCGAGCAGCAGAACAGGTCTGATCAAGCACATGCCATTTTCCCAACCATCATCAGCAGAGGTCAAGATCCTCGCAGTCTTTTGTATCCGACGACTCCGCGATAACGACACGAAAGATCCTGAGCGGTAAGTTCCTGTTTCCCGAATCACACGAGGCCGCACCGCGTGTGGGCAACCGCTTATGCACCAATTGGCCCATTACGAGGCATATGCCTAAGATTTCGACCCACGTCATCTCGGGCATTGACCACGGACTTTCCCATCTGCTGGCCTGGAATCAGTTGGAAGAGGCTGAGAGATTCGATGTGCTATGAAGGCGTGGCAACGCGCAGGAATCCTCCAGCAAACGCCCGTCACCAACGTGCTGGCAGGCATGTGATTGGCGAGGCGCAGCATTGACGCAAACAAAAGAATGGACACTCTCAAGCGGGAGGCTCGGCGGATCCAGACCACCCTTTTCCCGATGAGGCAGCTCGGCCCCGAGCTCAGAGGTTTCCTGCTCATGCACAGCTCGGCATATAACTCGACAACTCGGCGATTCTCGTTGACCCCAATCCTCATTTGACTCCCGAATCTCTCCCTCGAGAAATCCAGTGTGCCCTCGAACCAACCCACTCACAAGCCTAGCCATGCCAGAGGACCCGGGGATCGCGCGCCCCCCAACCGCGAGCTTGGCCGTGCCCAAAGCCAACCGATCCTGCGACGCGTGCCGAATACGCAAGGTCAAATGTCCGAGTATGATCGCCAGCCATCGGTAATTAGAGATCAAGAGACGAGGTTTTGCTGACCATAGCTTCTATTTGCGTGTAGGTGCAGGCGGTCGGGGCCCTTGCGCCAATTGTCTGGTATGTCTTCTTTTCCATCCATCGAGATGGCCATCTGGTTCTACCCCCACGCTCCCACGTGCAGATTTGAACTGAGACGAAAGCTTTTCTATTCCATAGCGGCGGAAGACAGTCTGCCATTTCGGTGCCAGAAAACCCTCTCGAAGACGTAATGGTAAGCCAATTCATTGCCCATCTCGGTAACCCGCCCTCGCGATCCGGAGCGTCAGGCGATTGGCTCTTCGCCAGTTACCTTGGGTGCTGGTAGCGGAAATCTGATATCCAGGATCAAGCTAATCTATATATATGACATCAGTGAATGAGGGTTTCCTCTCCCCCAAGCCTTCGCCCCCTGGCGAGATCCCGGTTGTCAGTGCTGCCCCGGCCGTCAGGTCAGAGCCAACACAGCCAATCCGACACCAGCCGCTCTCTCTGTCACATGCACGCGTCATCCCTCTTCCTACAGCTAGTGAGAATCGTAACTTATTAGAGATTGGATCGAACGCAACGTCGATTCCCACCCTTCTTGTGGACGATCTACTGTCCCAAACTCAAAGCCCACAGGACCAAGTTTTCATCAGAGTATGCTTCCCAACCTTGCGTCATGGCGTTGATCATTGCTAATTGTTTGGGCGAAGGGGAATGGATTTCTTGGTAGGACGAATCACCTTTCTCGCTCAAGATGTTCCCATTGAAATCTAACACGACATTAACCAGGCGCATACAACCTCACATTTTTCTCAGATGCCCGGCTAGCTTCCCTATCAAGCCGCTTAGGGAATGACAGTGTCAACGAAGTCGTCGGGAGAATATCTAATGTTGTCCGCAGCAGGCTCTCAAAGCGGCCAGAATCGGGCCAGAATCCGATCCAGTCGGCAGTAGGCCGTAATCATTCGGTCGAGCTATTTACAGACAGAGTTGCTGCCAAGAAATACATTCAGTGTGAGTAGCCACGTAGCATGTATCAAGATGATTAGATGACCTGACATGTTACCACCAGTGTACTTCGAGCGTGTCCATCCTCTTTTGCCCTTCCTCGAGCGGGCCAGTTTCGAAAGCATAGCGCTCAGCAACAATTTGGATGAAGTGCTTGCCAACAGCAAGCCGTGGGTTTGCCTTTACCATGCAGTCTTGGCTTTGGGTAGCCAATATGACGGAGAGGGTAGCTTCGAGCCTTGTACTGGGAAATCATGGAAGATTTTTGCAGTTAGCCTTGCATACTTCCCTGAACTACTCCTACACAACGATTCACTCCCCACGTTAGAAGCCATGACTGCTATGTCGGCGTTTTCCCTCAGTGTGTCATGTCTCGCGATCGAACACGTTATCATCTCCGAGGCTGGTAGGCGAGCACAAAACTTGGCTGGTGCAAACTTCACAGGTCGTTCAGCCCAAAGATACTCTCGGTGTTTCTGGGTGCTCTATGCGATTGAAAAAATGTCAAGCTTCCAGATCGGCAGGAGCTCTGTAAGTTATATTCACCAGAATCCGCTTCCCCAGACCTCCTTTCAATCTTCTTTACTGACATGAAAATCCCAACAGGTATTTGTCGACGGCGATATCTCCTGTCCTCTCCCGAGAGTCTCGGAAGCTACATTCGGCGGGTTCGATTACTTACTATCCTTCCTTCGCTACGCCAGAATAATATCCAGAGCCCTAACCTTTCTCTTTTGCGTTGGCGTTGCAAACAAACCAACCTCATATCACCTCGAAACAACAGAGCAACTGAAGAAGGAGCTGGAGGATTGGAGACTTTCACTACCTGATAATGGCTTCCGTCCAGGAGGAACGATCCGACCCGAAACTGTTCAGGGACCCGTTGAGCGACAAGCGGCCACCTTTATCCATTACCTATACGCCCATATGAACTTAATCATCAACCGTAACACGCTACTTCACCTTGTTAAATGCAGCGATCAATCTTATTCCAAAGAGCGTCAAGCTGCTGCTTCTGACATCCACAAATCCTGCCGGTTAATTGTCGAGCTGACGACACTGATAGAGGTCGAGCCTCATACGAATATCTGGTGAGCATCAATCATTTGCTACATATACTATCACTCGGTGAAATTGACACATCGCACTAGGATTCTTGCGACTATTCCCTTGGCCGCGCTTTTTGTGCTTTTCGACAGCGTTGTTCATAACCCACGGCAGCCAGAAACTTACTCAAACCTTGCTTTGCTCGACATGGCCGCTGGACACTTTAGCCGACTAGAGTATTGCAGTAACGGCACACTCCCGGGGTCCCTGATTTCCGAGTTTTCTCACGTCGCTCGCACCTATGTGAACGGTATTCAAAGCCGTGATTCTGTGCCTGTTGGATCACATAGGAACAGTGTAAAAGATACCTCAGTGCTTTCGGGAGGCTCTTTGCAGGACAAAGGTTCCACCAATGGAGTCAGTCCGGAGATCACCAGGACGCAGCCTCCAACAGCTCAGGATTTGGTGATAACAACCTCTGGGGAGCAGCTGAGGCCAGTAGCAGAACCGGGAACCGATTTCCCAGAGTCTTCAGAACCTTTTGAACCCTTTGGGAGCATGGACTATACCATAGATGGCTTCGGGGGGAACATATCCGGAGAACCCTCTCTAGGGACAAACGTCTTGGACCTTTTCAACAACTTTCTTCCCGACCTGGATCCTATGCTGTATCATGGGATGCCGGGTAATTTTGATTTGAATATGCAATTAGGGGGTAATGATCAAATGCCATAGAATGGATGGGTTTAATGGAACAGTGTCATGGTTATCGGTTAGAGCTGAAGGAGCCCGTTATTAGGATACCCACGGCCTTTAGCTCATCTTGTATCATATATTTAGGGATTTGGCTTTCTTGAGACATAATACTACTAGAGGTCTGAAGCGCCAGTTTCGCTCATAGATACATGGCCTCCACTCCGTCGACAATTGGCCTGTGATGAGTCGTGAAGTCGTCCGATAATTTCAGTGGGGATTTTACTCAGTCGAACATGATTCATGATTCGAGTCAATACAAAATAGATATTTTCTAAAAGGATCTTTCTCGGAGAGCTCGAAAAACGGCTTGATATGTAAAACAATTCAAAGAGTGGTAGCAATTGACACTAATTAATCATGAATCTGAGCTGAGTGTTGTTATTTTTCATGCCACTCATAACTAAGCATTTCTTTGAGCATGAACTTCCAGCCAACAAAGATGATGCAATTTTGCCTTGCCATATGACCTAGGTCTAGACGGAGGCCGAGAGACACTTGTCTCCTAATCTCAAGATGATCTCTCTTCTGTTTGATGTCTGTCCTTTACCACCCACCCATCATTTCCATCAAACCCGTAGGCCCATTCATCTAAGCTCTTGAAGACCCTTGCAAAACACCTAGAGGTCGCATCTTTGTCTAGAAATCTAGCCGTAGCTCGATTCCGCGGTATTTTCAACCCTCCCCCCCCGGTTTGTCTTCAATGCTCACTGAGCATCAACCAACCTGTGGCTCTTGCGAGCGCCGTGACCGCTCCATTCAGCCAATCAAAGCGCATGTCCATTTCTCTCTTCAAATCTTCCAACTCTTCCCGGAGCTCCTCTATCTCTGCTTCCAGGCTCTCTATCTTCTCCTCGATGGATGTACAATATTCTTCCGTCTCATGACATTTGCATGTCCTCCCTTCGGCTTTTGCTTCGTGTTCGGTATTCGCGGTTGTTGCATCCCCATGGTCTTTCGATTTCTGCTCCATCTTTTTTTCGTCTGAAGTAGACATCGAATCAAGGGTGCAAGAGGTTCGGTACCCGTTCTTATGGCCAGCGCCTTCTCCAACTTTGCCCTCCTTTTTCACTGCTTTCATCTTCTGTTTCTTCAGTCCAGCGTCCGAATCGGAGGGTAGGTGTTCTCGTGCTCGTTTATTGCTGCCAATGGCCCCTTCAATTGTAAGTTCTGCGCCATGTTTAGGATAATTGGCCATGTTATCGTTCTTAAGATCTATCTTGGGGGAAGGAGAAGAGAAGGGACGGACTTACTAGTCAAAGAACACTTTGTATCGAGGCGGACAGAAGACTGATTTTCCTTGGCACCCGTGGGCATCTCGGAATCCAGCCCCAGGACGGAGGTTCTGATGTTCAAGACCCAACGCGCATCCGTCTTGGTCTTTGACGTTGCGAATCCAAGGTTGGCGATTTGTCGGTGGGATGCGGTGCTTTTTCGAAATGCGATGCAGTTGGCCAGTTGTCAAGAGAAGTTTGTGGGTTTTGCGCAAGATAAGGAGTGAGTGAGGGGAAAGGTGAAAGAAGGAAGGCTAACGGGAAAGTGAGCTCAAAGTCAAATAGTAGAACAGGAGCTGTGCGGGAGGAGCTCCGCTATTGGTTATGGCACTTTTCATACATCTACCGGCAAAATCAGGCAACGCGGCCTCTGTGATTCAGTACACGAAGTGCTGTAAACTCATTGGTAACACCAGAAACCCAGGGAAGCTGTTTTCGGGTGTTTCGAGGTCGAAAAATTATGGCGCTGATACCGACCACGGCCATTGAATGAGCCTGATGTGTGGACGGTTACAGAAACCGAACTTCTTCGGAATTTGAAACTCGGAACGAACCATCTGGTAAATTAGATAGTAATTCATATGTACTTGAATGCAATATCCTATTCTAGACAAACTCGAGTAGTTGGTTCCGCGTGTCAGAGCAAATAATGCACCTCACTTTCAATGGCCAAATTTAGCTTTTCTGCAACTATCACAGAGCTCATTCCTCATATCCTGGACTCCAATAAAAAAAAATCAGAAAAAAAAGGCTGCATATTAAGACACGGGTAATTCTTTTGAGCATCACATGGATCCCAATGGCTGCCGAGTAATACCCTCCTCGCCAGTTATATCCTTTCCTTAGGCTCCCCCCATAACTACCATTTCGATTAATACGTCCACTGTTTGGGATGAACCATATTTCACTGGTTGCCAGATGATCGGTTCTAAGAAACTTGCTGTACCCCCCTGGGATATCCTCAAAACTGAGTTTTCACTGTCTCGCCCTCGATCTCGAAGGTTTTAAGTGTTGCGTTCTAGCCCTGTTGTCGCCTAAATGGTTTCTCTACGAGAAACATCAAAGCACATTTTTTACAGCTAGCGGAGTGGTATATAGGAATATTCAATTGAACAGCAAAATAATTATGTTACTATCAACAAGGAGAAATCAATTTGTCGTCTAATGTTAAGGTTGAAGCAAAGCCAGCATTCGCCTCTTTGTAGTTAGTGACTAGATTCAACAGTCACATTCAGTTACGGTAGTTATTGATAGCATGGCACAGTTATGAATAATTCGTGATTGATGAAAATTGACTTGATTTAATGGAATATTTAATTATACAGAAATCGCTCAATTGTAGCGCTTAGAAAACCCAGTACATGTGCGCGCGTTGTCTATTATCGCGCGATGCCCGACGCCTGACGCCGCATCCTTTCTTCCAAATACAGTACAGAATAATGAGTTGATACCCATCTATAAAATTGCCACGCGTCGTGGCTCGGATCGCTTGATCTTGGGAACAACAATGCGAAGGAGACCGTCCTTGAGATCTGCAGTGACAGCGTCATGGTCAAGTTCAACTCCATCAGGGAAGTTCAGCGTGCGGGCAAATCGCCGGACCCTGCTCTGCTCTGTGTGGGCGGGCTGGATTTCTGGGACAGCGGGCAGTGGTGCCTGAGCCTGCTCCTGTGGTTGAGGCGAAGGAGATGACTCCCGTTCGGGAGTTGGCTGGACCTCCTCTCGCTTGGGCTGAGGCTTCTTCTCCTGCTCCTTGGGCTTGACGGGGGATGTGTCGATCATTTCAAAGTCGTCATCGTCATCGTCTGCATCTTCGACAGTGGCCTGGTAGGAGCTCACGCTCTTGGCTTCTTGTGAGGCCTCTGTGGTGACGGAAGACACGTCGTCGTCATGATCCTCAATTGACGCGGTCGCGGGTGCAGGAGTGGATTCGATGATGGCCTCTCTTGCAGGCTCTGATGGTTCTTGTGTGGCTTGAACCGTGTTGGGGGTCTGTGGCGCGCGGCGCTCGGTAGTTCCACGGATGACCAGCTTGTGGCTTTCTGGGAATTCGACGGAAACTTGTTCTTTGCTCAAGCCTGGGAGATCCCCAAGAATCACATAAGCATCGCCAGTTTCCTTGGCTTCAAATCTGGGGAGCCAAGGACGAACTGGCTGCCGGTAGACATGGCGGGTGTTCCGAGCGCGGCGGGGCTCGCATTGGCCGCCGCGGCTATTGAACAGATGAAATACAGGCGTGAAAGAGGGCTGAGAGTGGTAGAAAGTACGAGGATAGAAGAAAGCCATTGTATCGGTTGGTGACTGAGGAGTGTGTAGGGTAGGCTTGTGAGTGGTGGAGAGGATCTTGGCTGCAAGGATGAGCGGAAGACTTGTTGTTTGGGATGTTGGAACTTGATCTGATGAAACGAAAACTCCATTAAGCAGGACGAATCCTGCCACTTTATAGGCTGCATCAGGGGGGTGGAAACGGTTGGCAACTTGTGCTTCTATCTACCTCCGGTGTTGACGTGAATCTTCTGGACGTGATGATAATTCCATCTGGCAAGTGCTGGTTGGTGCTAGCATGTTCCATGGCGCTGACCACAGATTCCAGTAGGTGGCCCTTAGTCATCCGGCGATAACGGCTTATCAAGGCCATGCTAATTCAGCATCTTGAAGCGGGATCGGAAGATCATTCTGCCGAATTCAATTGGCGCTCCCACATCATGGCACCAGATCTCTGTTTTAGCTTTGAATCAAAACTCATGGAGCTGGAATTTTCTGATCGATCACCACTGTCACTACTACGATGAGTGAATATACGACGCCTTTGGCCGATTGTGCAATTGCTTTGGCATTCTCTGGGAGTACAATATCACCCCCCTGGGCGCGCCGTGTTTACGTCATCCAATAGCCTCTCCGTTCCGTGACACTGGAAAAATTGGCTGATGGTACCTGAATCACGACAACAATTGAAGACAACCTAGGCAAACATAGATCTCGTCTCTCGAACTGGGTAGGAAAGCGATTTTTCAAGCGATAGGTTAAATCGTCGTACGAACCATGAAGCAGCTGCCTTTGGCATCATATCACTGGTTTATGACATGCTTGAATTGCAATCCGACATTTCCGCGGAGTACGCAGTTTCTGGCTGCTATTGGTATAACCCCTGTGTTATGTCGGGTGCCCGTCAGGATTCCAGTCTCGGCTGGGACCCTCGATCTCCTCTTTTCTCCTTCCTGACCTTGCTCGAGTCTAAATAGCTCGTTCTGTTCCAGACGATCCTGTCGGGAGGGTCGGTTACCTGGTAACAGCTCGAGTTTCGGATGGATGCTCCACCCAAAAACGCGGATTCTCCAGTCGGGTAACCCATTCCCGTCTCCCATTCAGAGCTAATCAATCACGCAAGAGATACACCGCGCTAATGGGCTTCTCGTAGCAGCCCAAGATGGAAATGAGACGTAATCTCTGATGGTGAGGAGGTCACCATAGTCAATGCGCTGATGAAGGCAAAATGAGGTGCTTTGAATCCTTGGTCAACTTGTTTCCAATCACCCAGTGGCATTACGAATCAGTTCAGCTTCAATGTGGTCCAGATCGAATGGTCCGTTTCTAGCGTGTTTCTAGACACTCGTTCCTTCACTCACTAGGTTCATGGATGCTGCAGGCACTTTAACATAACTTATTCATGAGCCTTTTGGGTCCATAACGTGGCGTGTGCTCTCTCTGAGCATGTTCTCATTGGTCACGCAATATACTTGGTCCAACTCTAGGTACGACTCTGCAAATTGCGTTAGCCATGATCGTCGCTGAAAATTTGGGGTTGATTTCACTACTGGCTGGTTCCAGTCGTTGTTGAACGAGCACAGCTTTTTCAAAGACTGCTGATAGAAAATCTTTCTCTCTTCTACTCGGTTGACAGAACTGATCAAGCTAACTCACTGAAAAGCTTCGTTCAACTGACATGCATGAACATGGATAACGCTGCATCGAGTCAGTGGGGAGTCGTAGCTTATATCTCCACAGCCGCCCCGGAGATGCCGTCCTAGCCGTCGCCTGGACGGATACAAAACTCGGCATTGTCCACCTATTGCATCATTTCTGTCCAATCCAAAACGTTAATTTGATCTTCCAGCGTTACAGAACTTTGGTGATGGCTTCAGGGAGCTGATTGCACCATCGCAAACGATTCGCACGCACTGCTGCAGAGTGTGATCGTCTAGCCACAATGTATCTTCTTATATAGAGTTATTAGAATTTAATGCATTTACCACTTCATTTTGCTTTTCTGCTAGGTTGATCTTGCTGCTTTACGCTTTCGTAAAAATGGCAGATAAATCAATTGCCACGAGCGAAATAAAGCCCAAAGCATCTAGCAATGGGTCTTTAACGGACGGCTCTGGTTCTGAGCATGGGAAGGGACTCTATGGCGATGGCGACACTTTCGCCGTCGGAGCATCCGCAGTGCACTATGAACCCATTCCAGAATACGAAGGACGCCATCGTTATGATCCCAAAGCCGAGTGGACACCCCAGGAAGAAAAGAAGCTTGTCAGAAAGGTAAGCGTTTTGACACTACCAGCGGCTGTGAGCGACTCTTGAACACTAACATGGTGCGATTTGAACTCTAGCTCGACAAGAGGATCTGCTCATGGGTCTGTTTGATGTTCTTTGCATTGCAATTGGACCGAGGAAATATCTCCCAGGCATTGAGTGACAACATGCTGAACGATCTTGGATTAACAACCAACAACTACAACTATGGCATGATGATTTTCTATCTCTGCTTCCTGTCGGCCGAAGTACCGTCCCAGATGATTTCCAAAAAGCTGGGTCCCGACGTATGGATTCCCATTCAAATGTGCGCCTGGAGCGTGGTTGCCATCTGCCAATGCCTCATCATCGGAGAGCAGTCCTTCTATGCCACCCGCGCGCTGCTTGGACTGATTGAGGGTGGCTTCATCCCTGACGCGATCCTATATCTCTCCTACTTCTACACCAACAAGGAACTGCCGATGAGAATGAGTTTCTTCTATTGTGCATCGAACGGCACCTTCATCATCGCCGCTTTCCTAGCTTACGGAATCCTTCACATGAGGGGCATTGGAGGCTGGGAAGGTTGGAGATGGCTGTTCGCCCTTGAAGGAGGGATCACTTTCCTCATTGGCGTTGTGTCTTGGTTCTATTTGCCCCCAGGGCCGACACAGACAGCAAGTTACTTCCGTGGTAAAGACGGCTGGTTTTCAGAGAGGGAGGAAGTCATTATGGTCAACAGGGTTTTGCGTGATGATCCAGGGAAAGTAAGAGACGGTATCATTTTCCAAAGCAAGGTGGCACCAAGCTAACGTGCTGATTATTTAGGGCGGCATGCACAACCGTCAAGGTCTCACTCTCAAGCTGGTTTGGAACTCCCTCATGGATTACGACCTCTGGCCTCTGTACCTCATCAGCTTCACGATGCTTATCCCGACGAATCCGGTCACGGCATACATGACGCTCAACCTCAAGGCGCTTGGCTTCAACACCTTTGAGACCAATTTGTTGACAATCCCGGCCTACGTTCTATTCTTGCTCCAGCTTGTGTTCTGGTCTTGGGTATCGGAGAAAATTAATAACCGGATGGCTGTTGTGTTCTATTACTCGATTTATTGCTTGCCTCTTCTGCTTGCCCTCGAGCTCCTGCCCAGCACTGCAAGCCCGTGGAGCTGGTATGCGGTCACTTTCTTGCTTGTCGGATTTCCATACATTCATTCGATCAATGGTATGCTTGATTCTTGTTATTTCTAACTTTATTCTTGATCCGAAACTAACTATTGCGCTATAGTGGCCTTGACATCCCGAAATGCCGGCTCAGTGAGAACAAGAACACTCGGCAGCGCCTTGTATAACATGATTTGTCAGGCTAGCTCGGTCATATCTACTCAGGTGAGATATCTGTCCTTATTGATGGATGGTGGCCCTGATTGTAGATTGTCTAACGTTGATGAAATAGATCTACCGCGACGATGATAAGCCCTACTATCGACGGGGCAATAAGGTCCTTCTGGCTCTGGTCGGCTGGAACATGGTTATGACGGTTTTCATCAAGGTCTACTACATGAGACGCAACAAATCTCGTGAGGTCATCTGGAATGCGATGACGCAGGAAGAGAAGGAGAACTACCTGAGAACTACCAAGGACGAAGGCAACAAGAGACTCGATTTCCGCTTCGCACACTAGAGACACAGACGTTTAAAAATAGAGACTATGGGACGGGGTTTGAAAGATAGAGCAGGAAGAGCCAATTAAATTAGAGGAGGGGATGGCTGGACATAGACTTGAGAGCGTGGACTTTTGCGTAGATCCGGGCTTTTATGATAGACAGGCGTTAGATTAGAGCGAAATTTCAATCCATTTGATTTTTACTTTGTTTTAGAATGGTCGAGTCAAGCTGCTGTTATGATTTTAGATGAGTAGCCAAGATCGTGTTCCTCCGTACTCATACGAGATGTGATGGGTGGCAGAATCGTACGCTGAAAACAAACTGATCTCATTTCTCCATCTATTTTCCTATCTTCTACTACGGTAGCATATGGCGCTAAGATGTTTGATAGCAACTGACTGGGTGGGACCAGAGATCTTTTCTGCATTTTCCTGGAGCTGAGAGTTCAGTACATAGCGGAGCTGCAACGTAACCGTTCATACCGTGGGGGGGCAGCGAAGACCACGAAGTAATTTAGACCTACCTGCACGATGTAATACATATAAGGCCGAACGAATAAAGTCTGAATTGGCTGGCTTGTTGGAATTGTTAAAGATAATTCACAAATTAATATAGGCATAACACAGCTGTCTGGTCTTGGGCCCTCTTCTTCAAACTTTTTGTCTGGGGTCTTATCTCAAGCCACAGTTTGGCTGCGGGGGACTGTGATCCAGGATCTACCTAGGCTATCTTATCTTCTTATGTCATACAAGAGGCCTCATAGCCTAGGAGTACTTGTTTCGAAGAATGCTGTTCGTGGCTGATTGGCTGCTGATGACTGGATGGTAGGGTTGTAATTGGGGGCTCGGGCAAGACGGATAAAGAAGAAAATTCAGAGCTTAGGAGCTGGGTAGATGGAGGAGATGATATCTGTGGCGGTCTGTGATATTATTTTAGGAGAAGTATCCGGACATCCGGTCGGGTTCATGTGAGTACGTGGAAGTGGCATACGCACCCTCCTGCATTGTCAGTCATGAGCATGTTTCCAAGGGCGGGACGAGAACCTAACCTATCATGAGGGGTCAAAGCCTTTCTGGTATATTTCAAAGATGTGAGGCTGGCTTATGGTTATCTCAATTTCCATGTTCAGGTAGCATTGCATGAGAATATGCACGGGAAGCGGTACTTGGATGCACGATACTGTTCAAGCGAACATACCCATCCACTATATGGCCTGATTTTGCTAATATCGGGGATATCCCGGTGTGGTTTTGGCAGAGAAAGCCGAGTATCAAGCGATAATACTATCTACTTTGGATCAGATGCGTCAGATGCAACAAAATGAGCGGAGGAAGCGGCCGTGGTGCGGTGCGGCGCTCGACTCCGCACAGACGCCGCAACACGCCGCACCTCAAGGCGGGCGGCTATCAGCTATCTTGTTGCGGAGGAGGATACTGTTTCATGCATACGGTGATAGAGTCAAACCTACAGCGTTGCAATGCAACTCTGGTGCGAACCTCTGCAGTCTGACGACCGTCCCTGTCCTTGCATGTCGTAGGCGAAGTTTGATAGCATGATAGCTGACAAGGCCGAAAGAATGTACCATGCGTATGCATGTGCCGCTTCGGCCTGGAAATGTGTATATAATGAGGCCTCATCTCGAGAAGTTCTGAGTCCATCCCACATCTCAAACCCTCCAGTTCAATCAATCATTCAATCTACAACTTCGTTGCCAAAATCTCATCCAAAATGCCTGCCACCATTCGTCAGTACAGGGCCGCCTGTGTCCAGTCCGAGCCAGGATGGTTCAACCTAGAGAAGTCCGTCCAGAAGACCATTGCTCTCATCAAAGAAGCTGGTGAGAAGCAGTGCAAGCTTATTGCCTTTCCTGAGACATGTGAGTACTTGAAATGCCCGAGTGAAAGAACCTCGACTAACGAATGATAGGGATCCCTGGGTACGCTTGTATTGTAACTTTGAATTTCTAGGCAAATAGAAGCTGACATTTGTCTAGATACCCTTACTGGCAGTGGCGTGTTAACTACCAGGACTCGCTTCCTCTGCTCAAGGAATACCACCAAAACAGTATCCGTCCTGATTCCGAGGAGATGAATCGCATCCGAGCTGCTGCAAAGGCCGCTAAGATCTACGTTTCTCTTGGATACTCTGAGATTGATGGAAACAGCCTCTACATGGCTCAGATTATTATTGACCCAACTGGGGAAGTCATCAACCACCGCCGCAAGATTAAGCCCACTCATGTAGAGAGACTTGTCTTTGGCGAGGGTACAGGGGACTCCTTGGACCAAGTCGTTGACACCGAGATCGGCAAGCTTGGTCATCTGAACTGCTGGGAGAACGTTCGTATAGTCCACGAGCCCACCTGATAAAACATGTTTACTAATTGTTGTACAGATGAACCCCTTCTTGAAGGCTCACGCATGTGCTCTCAATGAGCAGATTCATGTGGCAGCCTGGCCCGTTTATCCTCCCGCCAGTACCCTCACCTACCCTGACCCCTACACCAACATCTCCGAGGTGCAGTCTGAGCTGGTCACTCCAGCCTACGCCTACGAGACTGGCACCTGGACGTTGGCCCCCACCCAGGTCGTCACCCGTGAGGGCGCTCGTCTCAATCTCCCCAAGCGCCTTCAGAACGATGAAGCCGCCGTTGACGGAGAGGCCGCAGTTATTGGAAACGGATTCGCCCGCATCTACCGCCCTGACGGATATCGTGCCGTCGAGGACCCCGCCAAGACATTCGATGGGCTCGTCATTGTCGACGTCGACCTTGATGAGAACCTACTCACTAAGCGCCTGGCTGATTTCGTAAGCTTCATGGAAAGGAATTCATATCCTAGAATACTGGAAGCTAACAGCGAAAATTCGAAACAGGGCGGCCACTACATGCGACCGGACCTCATTCGGCTGCTTGTTGACAAGACCCCCAAGACTTACATTGTGGACGCCAATTCTTCCAACCCTGAGAGCTTCCCGAGCACCCTCTCTCGGCTCGGACTTAACAAGCCTCTCCCGGCAGACGAGTAAGGAATAATCTCGATCCAGAGCCAAGTTTCCTTGGTGAATTTTTGGCAATACATTTGGAAAGTGGCGGGGGCATGGACAGAAGGATGCAATAGTTATTAAGGGATGGGCCCGTGCCCTGCCGGCTGTGAAGATGGGGAATTTGTAACTATTCATCAACAACCTTTTTGAAACAGCCACTTAACTGAAATATTCTTGCTACATTCCTTTTATCTATTCTACAGACTAACCTCAGCGTAACGAGCTTTGTCGCCCTAAGTAGGATTTGTCTAACATGTTCTCTTGTTTCCCGTAGTTGCTGAGGTCCCGAGGTTGGGTAGACGCCGGGGCTCGGCACACAAATTCTAACTCTTCTCAGAGAAAATAGAGAATCTTCAGATCATCGGGCTGAATTGGGCAATACGGCTGTCTCTTTCCACTAACACCATTTCTTATTCTGTAGCAGTGAGTTCGGCTAGATGGAACATAAATATGAAAAAAAAAAAAAAAAAACCCCTCAGAGCCGTTGAACTCCTGAACGTAGCTTCTTGCACCTTCAGACAAAAGCTTTGTTCCTTCAGAAGATAATTCATGGCTGGCTATTCCTTTGTTAGTCATAAATTGGTTGATACCAGTGGTTAAATTTTAGCCCTTAATGATTGCTGTGTGTGAGTTTGACATTTAGTTTGCCCTTTTGCCACAGATGATAGATCTCTTGCTGGAACCAATCTCTGCTGTCAGCCATCAGCTCCATATCGAATCTCCAGATCAGGTGGACAAGAATGAGACGCATCTCAGCATATGCGAGGCTACGACGGGAGAGGTTAGTTGAAGTTCCAACGATTGAAGGCATGATTGCGTACTTTTTTCCGATGCAGTTCCGTGGGCCTGCGGAGAATGGGTTGAACACAGTCCTTGAATCCCGGGCAAATTTGTCACCTCCTAGCCAACGCTCAGGCAGAAAAGAGTCGGCGTCGACGAAATTGGATTCTGAGTGATAGGAAGCCCAGTGGGGAACAGCAACGATCGTCTGGCACAAGAGTAGAATATGTCAATACCTAATCATTCCTCATTTTGATGTGTGTGGCATAAAACTTGGAATCCCTACCTTGCCTGGAATCCAATATCCATCGATAATAGTACCTTCCTCGGGAACAAAGCGACCCATGCCGCCTGGGACAGGAGGATCTGGAATCCACTGTAAGTAATGTATATCAATTGTGGAAGATGAGATGTTCCCAACTTACAGATTCGAAGGCTTTCGTTAAGAACAGCGGCCGTGTATTCTAGATTGGCAACGGAAGACATGGTAATCTCCTCTGGTGAGTTGAATGTTGAACGAATCTCCTTGACAAGTCTCTCATATACATGGCGGTTGGAAAGCATCTGGTATGTGCAGCCAGAGAGCAGGGTTGCCGTTGTCTCACTACCGGCCAGAATCACGGCCTTGGACGTTTCCAGGATCTCAGGGGTGGTTATTCCCTTTTCATCGTTATGTCGAAGCATGTATGACATGAAGTCCTCCCTCTCAGTGTTTCCCGTTTCAATCCGTTTTGCAGCCGTCCTTTCACACAGCTCGTAATGGTGTTGAGCATCCTTGAGGAGCTTCCAAGGTATGAAAAGAGGCGTGAGTGAGATAAGGCCAGGGATACGCTTAAGAATGTAGAGACGCGAGGTCATCTTGACAATGTCAAAGATCATTGCCACCCAAGGATGGTAGCCACCGCTTTCGAGACTCCCAAATGGCTCCCCGAATGCCAAGTCGCCGATCAGATCGAAGGTGGTAAAGTTGTACCATTTCACCATATCAACCGCAGCTCCTCTTTCTACTTCATCACTTAGCTTCCGTACGAGTAGGTTCACGTACTCTTGCATTATTGACTCTTGCCCGCGCAATGCCTTCTCTGAAAACGCATGAGATAGGTGTCGACGGATCCTTTTGTGGTCAGATTCGTCCGCAGTGAGGATATTGGGCTTTCCTGGTATACGGCGTGGGAAGAACCTCGTGTCTTTGTGGAAGTTTCCGACAGCGCCATTCTTGTGACCGTAGATAATCTTCCAGGCGTCACCGTTGATGAAAGACACGTCGCCTGGAGCGATGCGCACCACTGGACCATACTGATCATGAAGATCTTTGAGAACCCGATGCCACTTTCCGGATCTCAGGTGGTACATGTAAGGAATAATGGAAATGGCATATAGCTTTGGACCGGGAACCTTGGCCAATGGATGAAAGAATGCAAGATAAATGAGGTAGCCAAAGAATGCGAAGAGGGCCTAAGACAGTGATATCAATTAACACAACGTCTCTCAATGTTCAAGCCAGGGATCTTTAACATACCACTACCGAAACGGTCGGAAGCACGCCGAAATCGTTGGAGATACTCGCCGTGGGACTCATGATGATGCCAGTTTGAATGTGAATGTGTGAAAGAAGAAGGTACGCAATGTTTTGAAAACGAGTAAGCACAATATATATTGTTTCACTCGCAGAGAAGTTATCATCCCGCCTCTCGGCGACTTGTAATTGCGTGAGGGGTCGGAGTTTCATCAAAGTCCGAAATGACGAGCACATCGCTTCCACGAATCGCGACTAAAACATAGATTCGAAGGTTGATAACGCATTTTTCAAATACTAGGATGCGCATATTACTAAAAAGACCATTTGGGCGAGTATGCGTTCTTTTTATCTTGGCGTACGACATTCATATGTTCCGTTCGCAGATATATCCAACTAGAGTCACAGCACTCGGTCTCAGAACAAACACATGCAGGAGCGGAGATACCGGAAAAGAAGAGCTTGGATTATTAAGTGCGCATAAATCTGACGGCAGACTTGGTTGTTTTTGTCTCAACGGTAGTTGTCGGACAATTTTTCAGTCCGCGAGCGACGAGAGAAATGCCGATCGTGTCTATTATTAGGGGTTTCCTTTCGCTCTTCTGGTAATGTGCTTCGCAAAAAGGAAAAACTCATTCATCATCATCTTGTAAATAATATTTCCGACGCATTTCTAATACTCGGGGTATTTTTTGACTTGATTCAAGCGAGGCGAGGTGGCAAAGGCCTGGGTTAAGGCTCCGTGTGTAGGTCGTGTGTGATCCTTTCTCTCTCTCCAAATGAATGTTTACATAGATATTGTTGGGGCTAGTTTCCGTTACTGACGTCTCGCCATCAAACTTGCTAGTCGATTCTCCCGCCAGTACCATAATCCAGCCCAAGTTGCCCCTGGACCAACCAGAAATTGTCCCGCAAAAGTTCCAGCAAAGGCAGTGAAAGCATCGGCAGTTGTAACATAACCCAGTCGGCGCAGATCCCAAATGCTGTAGAGGCCAGTGGCCAATGATGAAGCACTGAATAGCAGCATGTCGTATTTGAAGAAGGTACCCAACTTAGCGCCCAAACTTGGAAGATTCCAGTCTGAGATGAACGGGTTCGGCACTTGGAGGAATGATTTGAATAACGATATATTCGGATGTGACCACGCGTACGCCATCGATGCAATATGAACGGTAGCCTGAGTCGCAACCGCGTAAGTGTAGACGGAGTTAAGAATCGGCAGGTCCTTATCCGCATATCTTTCCATGTCATTTCTATCTCCATTTCCCTGAAACTTTGCTCGGTGATATTTCTTGATCGTGGAAGCGATCAATCGAGTGAGAAGAACAAACATCGGTGGCGCAAACTGCCAGAGGGCTATAGAGTGTTGCCATGCCACTGTATTCGGAGTTCCTGCAAACAAAAGTACAGTAGGAACGACAAATCCCAATGTAATAGCTGGAACCAGAGCTTTCGCAGTCTCGATAGGAATATGGCGTCCGGTTGGAAGTTCATGAGAGCTCGCGGCATGCAGAGCAGCATGAAGAGGGCCTATCTGACCGATCCCCCGAAGCTGCATCACAAAGGCAAATAAAAGATCAAATATCAACCCAGTTCCTTGATTACCAATCCTGTTGGCCTCAATGGTGTAAATGAGAAGAGGTGATATCAACTGAAAGAGAAAATTGATAAGCTGTAACCTGATCCCAGGATCCTGATCTGAGAGTGGGATTGCAAACACCGAGACGAATATCTTGAAGACCTCGGTGATTTGGCCTTCACCGGACCATCTAATAACAATTGGCGCTTCCCGGGCCCATTTGGTTATCTCTGGTATATGAAAACGGAACGCCTTCAAACTAATGAAGACTAATGTTGCCATTGAGGCGATCTGTCCGCCACGAACGATCATGGATATTAATCTGTTGAAAGGCGCCACAGGAAGCTCATCATTGTATGGTATCATGCGAGATCGTTTTGGTATCGGAAGGTTCTTGAGATGTGTAGCGCCTATAAGATTCCAGGACATCCTCGTGAGAATTTGTTCAGGCCCAGCCAAGGGGAAAATGTACCCTGTAAGGATGGTAGAGATTAACGGATTCTCGTAAGCGTTGATTCTCTGATGCCTGTGCGCAGCATGTACAATCAACTTAGCTCTTGCGTGCCTTGATGTCTGTGTTCGCTCCAAGACCTCTTCCAGCTCCTTGGTTGTTAGTTTGTCTAAGGTACCACCTCGGGCTGCTTTCTTTTCTAGCAGCATGTTCACAAGTTCGGCGCATGATTCAATCGCTCCATTGCCTCCCTGACCACCAATTGGGTTGGGCTTGAAAACTGTCAGTAAAGAACGAACCAGAAACGGTATGATAGACTGTATTTACCTTATGAGCAGAGTCGCCTAGAGTGATCATCCTCCTAAAGAACCATTTTTTGTAAACGACTTCGTGTAGTGGTGTGAGGGCTGAGGACAGACGGCAAGCAAAGACCTGTCCAAAAGTGATACTTTCGGTAATAGCTACATTTGCGTTACGATTTGCAAACTCTTCCTCGTCTTTTGTCGTGTATCGCGGGATCTCATCTCCATATCGGGCCTCGGGCAACCTCTCAAACATGAACCAGTACACACGATTGTCCGGCCCCGAAATAACAAGCTGCGACCTTCCATCGCCGGTCACAATATGTTGCTCGCCGGTAACCCATCCAGGTACGTCAACCGCAATGCCGAAACTGCATCTGTAGTAACACGGCACCTTGCTTTCTTCGTTTTCGTCGAAGGCGCCCGGGTCCAATTTGCCTCCCAGAGCCCTCATGACGGCCCGAGCCTTACTGCGAATGCCATCTGCACCAACAAGAAGGGTGCCACGGAACGTAGAACCATCCTCACATGTTGCAGTGACGCCCCAGTCGTCGAGCTCAGCTGACTCAAATTTCCTCCCTGTTAATATTTTGGATTTGTCCTGGAGATGATCATAGAGAATTTGTAGAAGGGCTTGCCGATCAAAGAACAACAAACCATATCCATGCCTAAATCCGTGGGTTTATTTAGACAATTAGTTTTGTCACTTGAAAGAAGTCGCCTCCTGAAACTCACCTGCGCTCAAGCTGATCATTGATTCCATGGATGGTTGTGATAATTTTCCCCTCCTTGTTTCTCATATGCGATTTGTTGTAGGGGATGTCGCTCTTGAATATAGCTTTGATCTGATCGTGGATGCCGATTTGGTCAAGGATTCGCAGACCATTGGGAAACATGCCTATGCTAGCACCGACCTGGGGCGCGATATCTTTGTGGGCTTCCAAAACGAGATAATCAATCTTGAACTTTTCCAACATGTTGGCGAGGGTGAGACCAGCGATGCCCCCGCCTACGATAATGACCTTGAAATCACTCTCTGCCGCCATTGTATTTGATGAAGTGGATTGAGTAAGGCACAGATGAATTCAATAAGAATAGGAGGATTACATCTAACCATGGGACGGAGGCTCGGTCAGCAGCTAGGTATTTATGCCTCGAACGTAGGTGAACCCTTATTATCCCTGTCGTCTCGCGTTTGTCAACCAAAACCGGGGCTCCATAACAGCATGAAAACAGCGGATACTTCGGACATCCGGCACCCTGCTGCAGGATAGTGCGTTCCTGAGTTGACTGTTTGCGCGATTATCCAAATGGAGCGAGCGTGGGACTTAGCAGACGTCTCAGAATTTCGCTCCAACACCTCCATGAGGTGGGATGCATGTAGGCTGAGTTGGTCAGCGGATACTTCGGGTAAGCGACGCTTTGAAAAGCTATCTGGTTCTGAGATGGACGACAGCACGATTGCCAGCAGCAGGGACGGGTGATAAAACTCCCCGGTTGTTGATGAGGTATCGCCAGTAGGCTCAACTCAACAAACGATTGACTAAATCCTCTGGCTGGTGCAAGGTGGTTTTCATGGAGCGGTAGAGAATGACGAATGACGCTCGCCACGCCATTGAAATCATGGTGAGGGTTATATGGCCCGATGCATAACACACAGGATGAAATCATCATTGATCCAAGCAAGGAAAGATATGCCGAGCGGCGTGTCCCCTTTTTGGCCGCATTGTCTGTATACATTATATCCTGGGGAGCTATAATAATAGTAGGCCAGGCATGTGGTTCGCGTTACATGAGAAAAAAGGAACAAGGAAGTCCCATATTTTATGCCTTGGGAGAGCTCAGAGAGAACACCTTTTACGGAAGAGAAAGGGAATGAATTTCAACAGCAATGAAAGTTGCCAGGACCTGACAACTCAACTCAATGAATACGAGAACAACTTGTATTTGCTTCATCTGTGGTCCTATTCATTAGATTTCAGTGTTTATTATGTGGACTCCTTTCATTTATTATGTTCTGCTATATAAACAAGGCGCTCGATGAACGGCGGCATGGATATCCCAAGACAGGCACACAAATTTTTCACCAGTCCCTATACGATTGTGTAGGCAATGGAGTCTTCCACGCCATCCACTCTTTCGTAGTTGGCCTGTGTTGTTGCGCCGCCTCTGTACACGTAACCGAACCAGTACCTAATCTTTGGTGTGCCCGAATTGATCCCTAAAGTAACAGGACAAGCCCTGTGTTAGTCCTGTGTTCTCATGAACGCTTTGGGGTCGACATGCCTGAGAAAGTCTCGGATGATGTGCACTGGGCAAAGGCTTTGCATTTCTCGAGTACGTAACTCGACCAAGACTGGGAGTCATAGGCATCATAATCAGCGTGGTACCCTGCAATGATGTTGCTTGGGAACAAGCTGTTGCCCGCAACCCAGTTCTGGGGATCTTCGAGCGGCACCAGCTCAAAAGTGGCCCTCGGAGTTGGCGCTGCAATAGCCGATACCACCAGAAGGAGTTGTGAGTAAATGGTCTGGATTCTCATTTTGCCAAGACAAGCTAAGTTAGCATGAGGAGAAATGGTGAAGAAGGGGGTCGAAGGGACGCGGAGTCACGGATGCATTATATCCCCGCCATGGCTGGGAAAACGAGATAGCGCAATCTTTCCTGTTCCATTGCAACATGCATGATATAGGGCCTCTTTCAATATGATGATTGAAAAAGGAAACTCGAAGCTGGGCGGAATCGGAGCCCCCCTTGGTTTGCACCCTGATTCGCAATTGATATCTTTGTGAGATGGGAAGGTCACATCCATCATGCACGTTGGGTTGAGCCACTCTACGCTAGGCGGTTAACATACTACCGTAATACGCATCGTTTTATTGGACCGCTACAAACTTATGCAGTGACTGTACCCACTCCCATTATGGACGTGATCGCGCAAACTGATAGACGAACAGTTCGCATAGTTGTGTTGTCACCACTCTGTTGTGATGAGAACCCACGTGCTATTGAGGCTGAGAATCCTTGCTAAAATCCCTTTATACAGGGGAAGTGTATAAGAACAGTTGAATATGTTAGAAAGCAAAATATCTGGTTGTACGATGCCCATCTAGAGAACACTCTTATTAGTTGCATTGCCCACAAGCAGAGCGCTACTGTGATGTAGCTGGTGTCCGAGACAGTCGCTGCTCAATTGATCAAAACAAGACTTGGCACAGAAAGAACATATCGAACAGCGATTGGAAACATCAAACCATGATGTAAAACTTAACACGGGAATAAAAAATGGTGAGTAGCGGTGTGAGTAGGCCTCACGTCAGCAACCGTGCTCAATGCTGGTTTTTCCTTAAAATTAGAGTCCATTCTGAGCACCAAGGTTCAGGGAACCACTGCTTAGTGAAACAGCTGCCTAATTGTGCAGGGCCTGCCCCCTATTACTTTAAATGTTGTTGGAGCAACCCTTGGAAATCACCATATGGTGATCGTCCAGTCAGGTGAGAGGTAGTGGTAAGACTCTACCTTGTATGTAGAAAGATCACAGGGGCGCAGATTAGATATAAATACGGACCAGATTATCCTCATTGAAATATTTCGATAGACTCTAATTCATCTTAACTAGTCTCAATTGTAGTCACTAAGTGAAAATGGGTCAATACTGGAAACTCGTCAATATTGACAAGCGAAAGGTGCTTGCACACGATTCGGGTTTAAAGCTCTTGGAGATACTTTGGGATCGAGCTCTTGAACCTCTCGTCGGCCTCCTTCGCCGGCCCCAATGGGTTCCTTATTTTGCACCATCATATGCAATCCAGTCATGCAAACTGAAGAGGTGAGCAGACCATCTAAGCACCCCAGACCTGGATGAAGTTCCACGCCGAATTCGATTATTGACTCAGCTTGCCGGATCCTATTGCCAGCCTGGAGTCGCCACTTGTTGCTCTGCCTCAGGAACTTATTGATCACATCATTTCACTGCTTGTAGAGGACGAGGGGGCTGGAAGCGGAGACTTGATCTGCCTCTCCCTGACTTGCTCCTACTTCTTTCGTTTGCTCGGCTCTCGCGTACAAACCCTTCTGGCAGAGGATGAAGCACCTTGGGCTGGAGATCGGCTCATATTCGTTGGCGACTATGCAAATGGGATTCCCGAAGGGGTTGTGACAGAAACAGAGCGTACACAGTTGCTAGCTGAAGGGCGCAATCCTCTGTACTATTCCATTGAGCAAGACTTTGCCGAGAAAGGCGCGACGTTTGAGCGAAGCCGGTACGACTCGGGGGAAGTTGAATCATCTGGCAACCTTTTCTCGCGCGTCCAGAAGAGAATAGGATCAACATCAGAATACAAAAAGGCCATCAATTTGATTACCGAGGTTCTTCAGCAAATGCCTACTGACGCGAGCGGACATCCACGCAAGCAGGCCGTGCTTCTCCGTAATTTGACAACCAAGGAGTTCGTCCTTGATGACACTATCGCACAAGGGTCATTGAAATATAGCTTGGGAGAGGTCCTTGGTACTTTTACTATCTGGACAGAAGATGCCTCCGGCACTGACTCTTTGGAACCTCCCGGACGATGGGCTGGCCATCGATTTGACATAGGCTGTTTGGAAGATGTTGCAGAAGAAGGCTGGAAGGATGTTAGTTATGAGGCTGTTCAGAATCTTAATGCTGCCGGACTGGCAGGCTACGGAGTAGCTAGAAGGGCTTGGGAATAACCATACGGCTTTCATATTTGGGTTGGCCCTCTCTATATTACTTTCATCAACGAGCTGCTGTTATTTTTGGCACGCATAAGATTTTAACGTCACAGCTGTAGGTGGGAAGTTCTGCGGCATACTTTGTCAACGTGTCCGCCGCCAAGGACTGAAGAGGTGAAACAACAGATTGTTGATATCCAAATACAACGGGTCGTTGCTTTATACTCAGTTATGCTGTTTACCAGAGGGCATTTTTAGATGTAACCTGCGTTATGTTCCATGGATTTCAACCTTCCTTGACCGTGAAGATATTTTGATACCTCTGTTCACAGTTTAGGCTCGCGACAGAGGACAAAGAATGTTGACTCGCATGAGTTGCAGGCTAACTCATTTTTCACACCAGTTACTTGGCACCCAAGTATTTGGAACTGTCTTTATAGTCAAATCTTGCCCTTTTTCATACAAGCGAAATCAACTTCTTAGCGAAATTCAAGAAAAAGACCCAATTTGTCTAGTAGCGGCAGGGGTGCTGGTAGCTTTCTAATGCAACATTTTGCAGCCCGTTGTGAGGTGGTCACAGTCTCTTTGCGCCTCCTTGCTGTAATCCATTTGGACCATAACTGCCAGTTCAATTGAAGTATTTTAGCGATTGGAAGTTTCATTTAGATTGGAACCAAGATGTGTGCCTAGGAAAATACACGTCATCTTCTGCCAATAGTTTCCCAGCTTAGAGGGGTTTGTGGTAGATTTCGAGACAAGTCGTGTCGCGGCGGCGCGGAACTCCGCCTTGGGGATGAGATGGTGGAATCATTTTGCGGATCAGTAAGAAAGATTTGTCATACTCCAATACTCCTATCTTTCTATAAATATGCATGAGTATTCCCCTCATCTCACCCGAAACTAAAAACTGGAAAATCTCTACCGCCAAAGCAATATCCTTCAACCCCTCAAATTGATCACCACTACTCAACCTACCAAATCCAGAACATCATACGAGATGTCTCAACTTTCTGTCTTTGTTGCCGGTGCGACTGGTGTCCAGGGAGGTGCTCTAGCACGGCACCTCGTCCGTCAAGGGTCTACAGTCCATGCACTCACCCGCGATCCAGGCACGGCTAAATCAAAAGCACTCGAGGCACTAGGTGTCAAGCTATGGCAGGGAGATTATGGCAATGAAAAGGCTCTCCGGGAGGCCATTTCTGGGACCAACGCTGTTTTCCTCAACTTCATGCCGGACTTCAGCGACTTTGGTGCCAACCTTCGTCAAGCCAAGCTGATCTTGGATATCGCCAAGCAAGCCGGCGTGACTCAAATCGTCTACTCTAGTCACTCGGTCCCTGACACGAGTGTTCTCACCTACTACGATCCAAATAGCCTTCTTGCGGTCATTCATAACTCGAAAAGGGATATTGAGAACGAGGTTAAAAATGCCGGTTTCAAGTACTTCACTATCCTCCGACCAGGTTATTTCATGACCAACGTGTTGGTTTTCCATGCTACCATGTTCCCTGGTCTCGTCGAGACTGGAACTCACGTTACTTCTCTGCGTCCCGATACTAATATCCCCCTCCTCGATGACGAAACCTTGGGCGCTTTCCCCTCCGCGGTCATCAATGATCCGGAGCGTTTCAACGGAAAAGCGGTCCTCTATGCCGACGAGTATCATACCGTGACCCAGATTGTCGAGAAGCTGTCTAAGGTCACCGGACGCGAGCTCAAGATAATTCCAATGCCTGACGAGGAAGTTGAGGCCCAGAGGACGTCAAACCCCATTATTGCTGGGCAGTCCGTCATACGTGATATGGAGAAAATCTTTGATATAGATGAGGTCAAGAGCTGGGGCATTCCACTTTCGACCTTTGATAAGTTCTTGGAGAGAGAGGCTGATGCTCTCCGAGCGCTCTACTCAAAGAATACTTAAAAGGTTATTAGCGCTTGCGCAGGAAACTTCTTCTTTCGTAAAGAGGAGATGATTTGGGATTTCGAATTGGATACGCTAGATCTTAGTCGCCCATGGCTAACTATAGCTACCAATGACGAAGAGTACCTAGTTAGGGACAACAAGGTTATACTGGCGAGTTTCCGTAATCGCAGGGAAGGAAGCAATTGATACCTGTACAAGTTCTTACGTATTTTCTAGTCATTTGGGAGCTTCTAGGATTTTGAAAGCTGATTCTATGATATTGTGCAAATATATGCTTATGAGGAGGCAATATATATATATATATTGTCTTTATATACTTTCGTTGACTTGAGCACAAATTTCTCTACAAAGACTCCAAACACCAACTAGAACTCACCATATGGTAGATGTGACTCTAGTAACTTCATTGCTGAGGAGACGTACAGGCATAGGAAATGTCCCCTTAATATGAAAGTCCGTCTTGCTGTGTTCATCAAATGAAATAAGTACCCATCACTTAATGCGACATAATGAGCGTACCGCCTGGTTTGGTTGACGTTCAAGTACATTCTTGAATGATCAATGTTCAGACAAGAATGTTAAAGATCCCGGAAGTAGCAGGCCCAATCGCTACCTGACTACGAAGTTTGCAACTGTCGGGTTCACATTGTGGAACCTTGATGCTACACCGAGGCACACTGTTCCCGCCATCCTGCTGTTACCTGAGCTCGTCGGGGAAACGAATCTCGCGTTGACGTGGTGAATTGCTTGATGATGATCCCGCCACACAGGTGGGTGGCAATGGAAGGGGGCGAGCGTCAGTAATGATGATTGGACCGAGGGGCGGTCGAGCATCCCTAACATCCACATCGCCTTTCCTGGCCCAGGCGAGACATTTTCTGATGAGCGGAACTCTGCTTCCCGATCCTGCCGAACGCGGGTCATCGCTCAAACTCAAACTGACCGTACGGCTTATTGCCCCCGGTGCAAGATATCCTAATTTCCCAACAGGGATGCTGAGGCCGTGAACTACCTGCAAGGCTACTGTTAGAAATGTCCCTATAGAAGAGGTTGAACCACATGACTTACAATGCTGCACACGGCGAGGAACCAAACTACAACTCGAGTCGTCTCCGCCAGATTTTGTACATCACTACGAGGGACATTGTCTCCGTCGCTGAGATGTTCTTCAATGAATTCCAAGCTCACAAACAAGTAGAAGACGGCCGAGACACCGATGGGACCAAAGAAGCCGGTGAAAATAGCCTGCTTAACCTCCTCGATCTGGGGAATCATCCTGTGCATCGCGAAAACCCAGGGTAACCTCCTTAGAAGCAGCACAAGTATACCAAGGAGAATGAGCTTCCATGTAGGGATAACCGAGTTGTCGCCAAAGGCACTCCAGGGGATAAATGCCCCATACCAGAAGAAGATGGCCACGTTGAGAATCATGTCAATCGTTGGCTGCAGGGAATCATCCATGGTCTCCAAGCGGAACCAGTCGTCCCAGGTGAAGGTGTTGCCGGCGATGAAGCAGGCAAGGACATCGTCGGTCCCAATCAATCCGCATGTGCCCAATACAAACAATGCCATGGAGATTGCGAAGACAAGAAAGCTCTCCCGGTCGACGTAGTTGCGTTCCTCTGCCCAGTGGAGCAGTTCTTTGCCAATCCATCCCACCACGGCGCCATACACGATGCTCAGAAGGATAGTGTATCCCCATGTGAAGGCGAACCAAAGCCCAACGGCATCCCCAGCACCTCCAGATGTTGCCCCTGAACCGACGTATTTGATGAGGTATAGAGCGAAGAATAGAAAAGGATATCCGAGGCCGTCATTCGCGCCCGACTCGGCAACGATGAGATGCTGTAGAGGTTTGGGAATATTGTGGTCCGCAAACTTACCCTTCACGATTACGGCTGAGAGGATGGGATCAGTGGGTGTTACACACGCCCCTACTGCGAGTGCGTGCAGAAAGTTGGGCCGCCCGGTGAAGGCCCAGACGAGGACGCTGGTAGCCAACCACATGCACGTCATTCCCGGACCAACGAGTAGAAGGATGGGCTTCCATTCTTTGAGAAGATATTTGCTGGGGAGTTGGACGCCGGCGAGGACAAGCTGAACACCCAGTACAAGCCGGGAGAAGTTCAGGGTGATGGCGCCCAGGTTGTCTTGACACTCGTTCTCCGAGACTCCCGGACTATTGCACTGAGCATAGTCCCTGGGGCGGATGAAGTTTGCGCCATTTGGTCCAAAGGCGACGCCCGCCAGAAGCGCGATCACTGTCTCGACAAGTCAGTCCTATTCAGATGTGTCCGGTTGACTAGAGATGGTCCATGGATGACGTACGAGCTTCGGAGAGGTAGAAATTCTCCTTGACCTGGAATGAAACAAGGCCAAATAACGAGATGAACCCTCCCAACACAGCGACCGCGATGTTGAAGTTTGTCAGCTGAAGAGGAATCGCCCAGATCCCATCCGCCATCATGGCAGACCACTTCAAGAATCAGATATGCTTAGCAAGCAAGGAGTTTGATGGTGAAGCAATAATTGGCTCAAAATCTGACAAACAAGTTGGAGGTGAGTGACATCATGCTCCTAAGAAGATAGCGTTGGCCGAAACTGCCCTTGCCCTGGTCGAAGTCTATGATGACTGCTCCAACGTCCTCGGCAACTCGGCACCAGTACTCCACCCTTCAGGAGGCCGTCGGGAGGCCTCCCCAAGAGCTGTTTACACAAAACAAAGTCGCAGCCTTTTTGAAGACAATAGACGTCGAAATACAGTTTTCAACCAACGTGGCACAGCCGGTTTAGAGTATTTGACCAATCATCATACGATATACGTAGGGTATTTCTCCGGCTGTATTGGTGATAAAACGACCAGCATTTAGTCTGGTGTTCCAAAAGTGTTGTTGTTCTTCTATGAGCTACCACCATCCCGAGTCGGCGCGATTGAGAGCTTGTTGAATGTGCCTTGAGCAGAATTTGAGAAAGAAGAGCTTGGTTCTAGATTGTTTCACTGGTCTATTCTCAGGGCGCAAGAATTATCAAATGGCCGACAATTCTCAAAGAGGTCATACACTTGAGAGAACCCCCACTTCTCACCAAATAAGTC